AAACCTGATAAACCAAAGGCTGTTAGGGCCGGCTGCACGAAAAACCGGGAACGCACAAACCCACACCCCGGGCTGGGTAAAGGTACGGACGGGTTTTCGTTTTAGTAAAAAATTTAATATTTTTTGGGTAAACCCTTTTTTAACTCGCGTGTGCTTCTGTACTGTATCAATCTTTTTCTTAAAAATATTTAAAAAACCCAATTTTTTCCTAAAAAATATAGATTTTTTGGGGACCTTTTCTGGCTTAAAAAAAAAAGACGTTTTAAAGTAACAGAGAAAGGTAATGAATTTTGTATACACAGAAAAAAATTTTCTCTTACCTCGGGGCATGTTGACTGTGTTAATTCCCTAAATGTTTGCGGTTTTCTAAAAAAAATTGTGTAAAAATGGGTTTGGTTTCCCAGGGAAAACGGGTGCCCTTTTTTTATTACGTGCAGGTTTCTAAACTAAGTGCCCATTTAAAAATTGTACCCCTTCCCACACAAACCAGTGACCGGGTTGCATGTACACTACCTTTCGGGGAAACCACATTACAAGGGGAACCTGGTTAAAAATTTGGGGAACCCAAACACAAACCATTTGCCCCGGGTTACATGTGGGAAAAAAAACCACACTACCATAAACCTTTGGCTACAAAAGGGATCCACCCTCCCAAACTCACCTTTTACATGTGGGGGAACCACACTCCCAAAGTGACCGGGTTTACATGTAGGGTCCACACTCCACTACCTTTTTACTTTTGGGGAAAACCACACAACCCAATTGACCTGGCTACAATTAGGGATCCACACAAACCACTGACCGGGTTAAAAGGGGGAACCCCAACACTCCAAATGACCGGGTTTACATTAGGGATCCACACACCATTTGACCGGGTTTTCCATGTAGGGAACCACACAAACCAGTGACCTGGCAAAAAGTAGGGATCCCCAAACCACAGACCTGGTTCTTTAGGGAACCACACTCCCAGGGGCCCTGGCTCCCAAGTAGGGATCCCACAAAACCCACTAAACCGGTTAAAAATTGGGAACCACCCAAAAACCAAATGACCTTGGTTAAAATTAAGGGAATCCACACCCATGACACGGGAAATCCCATTTGGGGACCAAACAACCAAGGGCCCCTGGTTCCCTGTGGGGGCCCCCGGGCACTACCAGTGCCCGGGGTTACATGTGGGGGGAAACCACTACAGTGACCTGGTTACATGAAATTTGAACCACACTACCAGTGACCGGGTTTACAAATGGGGAAAACCACACAAAACTGTGCCCCGGGTTTTTCCCTGTAGGGAACCAAAACAACCACTGACCGGGTTACATGTGGGGAAAACCACACCCCAAATTGACCGGGTTTTAACATTTTAGGAACCACACACCATGACCTGGAAAACATATAGGGAACCACACTAACTGTGACCTGGTTACATGTAGGGAACCACACAACCAGTGACCTAGTTACATGTAGGTAACCACACTACCAGTGACCTGGTTGCATGTAGGGGACCACACTACCAGTGACCTGGGTACATGTAGGGAACCACACTACCAGTGACCTGGTTACATTTAGGGAACCACACTACCAGTGACCTGGTTACATGTAGGCAACCACACTACCAGTGACCTGGTTGCATGTAGGCAACCACACTACCAGTGACCTGGTTACATGTAGGGGACCACACTACTAGTGACCTGGTTACATGTAGGGACCCATACTAACTGTGACCTGGTTACATGTAGGGAACCACACTACCAGTGACCTGGTTACATGTAAGGAACCATACTAACTGTGACCTGGTTGCGTGTAGGGAACCACACTACCAGTGACCTGGTTACATGTAAGGAACCACACTACCAGTGACTTGATTACATATAGGGAACCTTACTGTGACCTGGTTACATGTAGGCAACCAGTCTACCAGTGACCTGGTTACATGTAGGGAACCACTCTACCAGTGACCTGGTTACATGTAGGCAACCAGTCTACCAGTGACCTGGTTACATGTAGGCAACCACTCTACCAGTGACCTGGTTACATGTAGGGAACCATATGAACTTTGGCCTGGTTATGTGTAGGGAACCACACAACCAGTGACCTGTTTACATGTAAGGAACCACACTTCCAGTGACCTGGTTCCATGTAAGGAACCACACTACCAGTGACATGGTTACATGTAGGGAACCATACTAACTGTGACCTGGTTACATGTAGGGAACCGCACTCCCATCGACCTGGTTACATGTAAGGAACCACACTACCAGTGACCTGGTTACATGTATGGAACCACACTCCCAGTGACCTAGTTACGTATAAGGAACCGCACTACCAGTGACCTGGTTACATGAGGGGAACCATACTAACTGTGACCTGGTTACATGTAGGGAACCGCACTACCAGTTACCTGGTTACATGTAAGGAACCACACTACCAATGACCTGGTTACATGTAGGGAACCACACTAATTGTGACCTGGTTACATGTAGGGACCCTTACTAACTGTGACTTGGCTATATTTACAATCCCACACTAACAGTGTGGGAGTGTACTCCCACAGTGGCAGTTATACTTCCACACTAACATTGACCTGGTAACATGTATACTCCCACACTAACAGTGACCTGTTACATGTATCCCCACACTAACAATGACCTGGTTACATATACAGTATACTCCCACATTAGCAATGACCTGGCTACATATTTACTCCCACACTAACAGTGACGTGTTACATGTATATTCCCACACTAACAGTGACCTGGCTACATTTTTACTCCCACACTAACAATGACCTGGTTACATGTACACTCCCACACTAACAGTGACCTGGCTACATTCAGGCTCCCACAGTCTTATCATACTTCTTATCATTCCAGTCTCCTCACATTCTCTACATTTGTCTTCAGTAAATAATTTTAATTTATAGACCTGTAGCTACAGTGAGTAGTGTGGAACTTCACTGATGATAATAATGTCTTGTCAGTGACAGAAAGTACTTTATACAGTCAGTGGTGGACCTACATTTTTTGGGGGCCCTTTCACAACCCCTTTTCATACAGTAGACCCAAAATTTTTTAAACATTTCAGACTAAAGTCGCTTTTGGGACCCCTCCAGGATTAGGGGTCCTGAAGCTTAAGCTTCTTTAGTTTCTGAGTATATCCACCCCTGTATACAGTACATGTTATATTCTGAGATGTTTTTGTGCCAAGATCAATCATAGGGCATGAGTTCCTCATCATTTCAGTTGGGAGGACAGTGAAGTATATTTGGATTTAAAGACTATTTAGCTCCAGAAATTGTACAATATTTGAAGGTGCAAGTAACAACATGGTTCAAACGGTGGAGTACCGCATCCCTCTACCACTCACTGTTGCTGAGTACCGCATTGCTCAACTCTACATGTTGGCGGTGAGTAGCCTAGCCTGAGTCCAGCAACTCTGTGCCTACACTCTCACCACAAACATGCCATCAGATTGCCTAACATTATTGGTTACTTTGTAACAGAGCTGTACACAGAATATTAGAAGGTATATGAGCAATTCATTTTTGGTTTTGTTATTTATGAATAATGATGCAAGTGCTACAGGAGATTCCGCATTTTAAGTGTGGTAAGTTTTTTTTATAAATATAAAACAACGTGCATTGCATTATTTATCTATGCTCATATTTAACATATTATATAGGAGGTTAAAGCAAGAACCATGTTTATGTAATACAGTACAGTACTGCACCTTCATCATGCACTGTATTTCTTAATATTTTTTATATAGTATGTACTGTAGTGGCAAAAATTTAATGTTTTGTATGGTATCACATTGTAGAGCTATGGCTTCCCATCCCCCCAGAGGTGGCACCTTGATGCCAATAAAGTTCTTAATCCAAGGAATTGGAGCTGCCCTCTTCCTCACATTGAATCTGGTTGTCAGCCATTTCCCACTTGCTGTATGATCCCTATGTATTCACTGCTTCCATATGAATATAATAATACTGTAATAACAACTGCTGTAATCTGTATATCATTTTATTATCTGAAAGTCTGCTCATTGTTCTCTGCACTGTTGGTTATCTTTTTATGATAAGAGTACTGATAAAAATCTCCATAATTCTACACAAATTATACCAAAAAATGTAAATGGATTTTAAGTTTATAACTGCCATTTTTACTCAGAATCATAATACAATATTATAGCACAGTGTATTACACTCAGTGAAGAGTATAAAATATTTTTCATCAGCTTAAGCAAAATAATAAGAAAATACTGTAGTGTGGTATAAACAAGCTTTCTCAGAATATTGTCATTGTTTTTATCATGAATTATTTAGCATCTTAATACACATACCTTTGAGAATCAGTTCAAATCTTGCAGATAAATTATCAAAATTTTAAGAACTTTGTGCATTATTGTATTACCCATGATTTTTTAGTTCTTTTTTTTAGGCTAGTGTTGTGAGGGCAGGTCAGTATTCTAGCTATCATATTCAGTAGTTTGTACATGCATGTTACTAAAATTACCTTATTATTACTTTTAGTAATTAAATTATTAAAGTGTGTTATGCACAAATTTATAATTAAAGCACCTCAGTACCTTCAAAATTCAGGTTTTTTTTAACTTGCATTTTCTTGACTTGCGTTGATTCTGTTACTCTGAGATACTATATTGTAAGCCTGTGCATAATAATTTCCGTGTATGTTTGATACTGTTTTTCTAGTACTGTGTATGTGAAAGTGATAATGAAGTATTAAAATGGCTTGTAGCTTTAAGTATTGTTTACTGTCATTTGTCTTCATCTATCCCTTTCACCCATAATTTTCTCATCTCTTGATTTGACAACATAAGCACATTTTCACTAAAAATACTTGCAGTGGATTTAATTAATACTGTACTGTATATCATTAGTGTATTGCCTTTCTTTGTAATCTTATAACCAGCACATATAGTTACAACACAGCATATTAGTTATATTGTCACTGTTCCTAACCTTGAGTACTGTCTCACTCATGTAGAAAAAATCTCGTCAAGAAAGTCATGGGGAAGGCAGTGGAGTGGAGATCCTTGTGAACGAACCTTACGAAGATGGTCCAGGACCTGACGGCAAGGGACAGTATACTCATAAGGTTTATCATGTTGGCAGCCATTTACCAGGTGACTAATTGTGTTACATTTATCTTTTCCATTTTATGGACTTCTCTCGTTATTCTCCAGTTTTACTTTTGCATCAGGATAAGAATCTCTTACTCAAAATTTAATTATTATGAGGCATTACCATGCAGTAAAACATTATTGAGTCTATAGATGTACGTACAGTAGTGAGGAGTAACATGATGAAAATACAAACATGTATAGAAAGATTTTCTAAGTATAGTGTGGGTCATCTTGTATTAGTCTGAAATATGTATATAAAAAGGATACACAGTAAACCTTTGTAAATTTTATTTGCTATATGTTTTGAATTACCTTAAACCTATGGCATGACAATTTATTGACAAATGTGGTTGAGGCCAGGGTAATTCTGTGCCATCTCAAGTGTTCAACAAGGGTAATACACCCAGTCACTATGTGTTCATCAGTGTGGAGATACATAAATGATATAAAATACCAACACGATGGGCAAGGAGACACAAATGTAGTAAAATGCTATCTCTTATTGATAGTGTTTCACTCACACAGTGAACTTTACCAAGTCACAAACAGAGCTGTTTGTGACTTGGTAAAACCCACTGTGTGGGCAAAACATTGTCACTTGTGTCTAAATGTTTATCATTGTATTCATCTAACTTAGTATTAATGTAAACTTTGATTGTTATTCAATAATGCAATGCTCATTATTAGCTTCAAGGTTTGTTAAGTTGAGCAGTTACAAGAAATTTAAAAAATTACGTATATGACATTGGATACCGAAGATGGGACACCACAAACATAGTGTTGCCTCAGTTAATCAAAGATATGTACTAAAAAGCATTTAAAGAGCCATAATAATAACAAAAGTTTTAAGTGCTAAACTAGTATGGGTCATAATAAGCCAGAGCTGTATATACAATGATACATGGGCTTGTATACTGTATATCATTTGGTTTATGCAGTGTTAGGTTCTTGGCTTAGCCATGAATTTGTTGGGAAAAATTTGGTAGGTTCCTGTGGCCTTAGTCTGACCCACTCCTGAAGTAAAAAAAAAAAAAGCAATGTCTGTAGAGGCCTGGTCTGAGACCAGGCCTCTACAGAGGCCTGGTCTCAGACCAGGGTCAACCTCTCGAGGGTCAACCTCTACAGAGGTTGAACCTCGAAACCCTCTCCAGGTATACTCCAGGTTTATTCTATACTTATGTTTAATACACTGTACCCTTTGTAACTTTATGTTTAGTATTGGTTCATAAAATGTATTACTGTATTATAGTATTAGAAATTTATTATGTAGTCAAGTAATGTTAATGATAATTAATGTTTATTCAGGCTGGCTGAAGTCTCTAATTCCTAAATCGGCATTGTCAGTTGAAGAGGAAGCGTGGAATGCCTACCCTTATACGAAGACCCGTTTCACTTGTCCCTTTGTAGAGAAGTTCAGCATTGAAGTCGAAACCTACTACTTTGATGATGCAGGGTGTCAAGAAAATGTCTTTAACCTTTCAAAATCGGAACTGAAGCAAAGAGAAATAGGCAAGGCTTTTCATTTTGTATCTTCTGTGTACTTCAAAAATAACCCCTATTTATATTTTTCAGTTTTTAGCAGGAATCTTTAATGAATTATACTGTATAATAAAGTTTCGATAAAATGCTCGGGTGAAATGACATTAAAAAATTTTCAGATGTGATTGATGTAGTAAAGGATCAGTTATACGGGGCAGATTATGTTGAAGAAGAGGATCCTCGTAAATACAAGTCAGAAAAAACAGGAAGAGGCCCTCTGGGTGACAACTGGATTACAGAATACTGTGAAACATGCAAGGTTAGTCCTCATTTTCCTGATTTTTTTTGTGTGCATATTACCCGGTGGGGGGAAATAAATGGGATTAAATCTGGAGTATCTGAGAGAGTTAGAGCAAAGGAAGGAGTAGCAGTAATGTTGAAGGATCAGTTATGGAAGGAGAAAAGAGAATATGAATGTGTAAATTCAAGAATTATGTGGATTAAAGTAAAGGTTGGATGCGAAAAGTGGGTCATAATAAGCGTGTATGCACCTGGAGAAGAGAGGAATGTAGAGGAGAGAGAGAGATTTTGGTAGATGTTAAGTGAATGTATAGGAGCCTTTGAACCAAGTGAGAGAGTAATTGTGGTAGGGGACCTGAATGCTAAAGTATGAGAAACTTTTAGAGAGGGTGTGGTAGGTAAGTTTGGAGTGCCAGGTGTAAATGAAAATGGGAGCCCTTTGATTGAACTTTGTATAGAAAGGGGTTTAGTTATAGGTAATACATATTTTAAGAAAAAGAGGATAAATAAGTATACAAGATATGATGTAGGGCGAAATGACAGTAGTTTGTTGGATTATGTATTGGTAGATAAAAGACTGTTGAGTAGAATTCAGGCTGTACATGTTTATAGAGGGGCCACAGATATATCAGATCACTTTCTAGTTGTAGCTACACTGAGAGTAAAAGGTAGATGGGATATAAGGAGAATAGAAGCATCAGGGAAGAGAGAGGTGAAGGTTTATAAACTAAAAGAGGAGGCAGTTAGGGTAAGATATAAACAGCTATTAGAGGATAGATGGGCTAATGAGAGCATAGGCAATGGGGTCGAAGAGGTATGGGGTAGGTTTAAAAATGTAGTGTTGGAGTGTTCAGCAGAAGTTTGTGGTTACAGAAAGGTGGGTGCGGGAGGGAAGAGGAGCGATAGGTGGAATGATGATGTAAAGAGAGTAGTAAGGAGAAAAAGTTAGCATATGAGAAGTTTTACAAAGTAGAAGTGATGCAAGGAGGGAAGAGTATATGGAGAAAAAGAGAGAGGTTAAGAGAGTGGTGAAGCAATGTAAAAAGAGAGCAGATGAAAGAGTGGGCGAGATGTTATCAACAAATTTTGTTGAAAATAAGAAAAACTTTTGGAGTGAAATTAACAAGTTAAGGAAGCCTAGAGAACAAATGGATTTGTCAGTTAAAAATAGGAGAGGAGAATTATTAAATGGTGAGTTAGAGGTATTGGGAAGATGGAGGGAATATTTTGAGGAATTGTTAAATGTTGATAAAGATAGGGAAGCTGTGATTTCGTGTATAAGGCAAGGAGGAATAACATCTTGTAGGAGTGAGGAAGAGCCAGTTGTGAGTGTGGGGTAAGTTCGTGAGGCAGTAGGTAAAATGAAAGGGGGTAAGGCAGCTGGGATTGATGGGATAAAGATAGAAATGTTAAAAGCAGGTGGGGATATAGTTTTGGAGTGGTTGGTGCAATTATTTAATAAATGTATGGAAGAAGGTAAGGTACCTAGGGATTGGCAGAGAGCATGCATAGTTCCTTTGTATAAAGGCAAAGGGGACAAAAGAGAGTGCAAAAATTATAGGGGGATAAGTGGGAGTTGTCACAGTTGCTCTTTGCTGATGACACTGTGCTCTTGGGAAATTCTGAAGAGAAGTTGCAGAGATTGGTGGATGAATTTGGTAGGGTGTGCAAAAGAAGAAAATTAAAAGTGAATACAGGAAAGAGTAAGGTTATGAGGATAACAAAAATATTAGGTGATGAAAGATTGGATATCAGATTGGAGGGAGAGAGTATGAAGGAGGTGAATGTATTCAGATATTTGGGAGTGGACGTGTCAGCGGATGGGTCTATGAAGGATGAGGTGAATCATAGAATTGATGAGGGGAAAAGGGTGAGTGGTGCACTTAGGAGTCTGTGGAGACAAAGAACTTTGTCCTTGGAGGCAAAGAGGGGAATGTATGAGAGTATAGTTTTACCAACGCTCTTATATGGGTGTGAAGCATGGGTGATGAATGTTGCAGCGAGGAGAAGGCTGGAGGCAGTGGAGATGTCATGTCTGAGGGCAATGTGTGGTGTGAATATAATGCAGAGAATTCATAGTTTGGAAGTTAGGAGGAGGTGCGGGATTACCAAAACTGTTGTCCAGAGGGCTGAGGAAGGGTTGTTGAGGTGGTTCGGACATGTAGAGAGAATGGAGCGAGACAGAATGACTTCAAGAGTGTATCAGTCTGTAGTGGAAGAAAGGCAGGGTAGGGGTCAGCCTAGGAAAGGTTGGAGGGAGGGGGTAAAGGAGGTTTTGTGTGCGAGGGGCTTGGACTTCCAGCAGGCGTGCGTGAGCGTGTTTGATAGGAGTGAATGGAGACGAATGGTTTTTAATACTTGACGTGCTGTTGGAGTGTGAGCAAAGTAACATTTATGAAGGGGTTCAGGGAAACCGGCAGGCCGGACTTGAGTCCTGGAGATGGGAAGTACGGTGCCTGCACTCTGAAGGAGGGGTGTTAATGTTGCAGTTTAAAAACTGTAGTGTAGAGCACCCTTCTGGCAAGACAGTGATGGAGTGAATGATGGTGAAAGTTTTTCTTTTTCAGGCCACCCTGCCCTGGTGGGAATCGGCCAGTGTGATAATAATAAAAAAAATAAAATATTACCCACATTATACTGTCATTTAGTTTAAATCTGAATAATATGAAAGTTAATACAGGTCTGCCATCACAAATCCGGCATCATTGGGACCTGTAGTGTGCCGGATTATTGAGTTTGCTGGATTACAGAGTGGTTAGGTTAGAATACACTTAATAAAGTTAATCAGCTTGACTTACACAAGAAAGTTCATTGAACATTGGCAAAAATCAAGCATTTCTGCTACTTTGAGCTCAATTTCAAGATACTTTTCATCGTAAAACCAATCAAAATCATATCTATTTCTGTAATATATCTTCCATTCTATCAAATGAGACCAACAAAATGAGAATACAGCCATAAAAACCACAAGAAAATATACTGCTATGGGGCGACTAAAGACTGAGAAATAAACTCTGTTATTTATGGTCCAATTTCGTTCATTTTTGGAGTACGTTAAGAAGAATCTTTCCATCATACATTGCCTGAGTTTCCATAAGATAGCCCAACTAACAACTGAGAGAAAAAAAATATTTATGAAAAATCATATATGGCAAGCCTAAGCCAGGTACTAGAAATAAGTCACTTTGTCTGATTTTTTGGGTTCTCTACACATATGCTGCTATGTATGATAATCTATGTAGAGAAAATAGCTTTTTTATTTCAGTTTTATGGTGCATTATGAGTGTATATCACAGTTAGCCCTGTGCTATACTCCATTTTCTCTAATATAAGCCCCCCAAGACAGATAGGAGGATGGTACTTGTATCCTATTTCCTCTTCATGCCTTCGTCAAACTGCTTGGTATTATGCCAAATATTATTCATTCTGGAGTATTTAACATGTTTTTATGTTATTTATATTGTTTATTATGTCATTTAGATCAATTGTGATAGGCAAATAAGTTGTAGAGTTGATACAAGTCTCCCTCAACATTTGCGTTTTCCACTTTCACGGGCTTCGAACATTCGCGAATTCCCAGCCGCCCAATCATATTTAAAATATGTCATTAAGTATGTTAGGAATTGTGGCGGTGGCAGAGTTTGTTAGGAGATAGGACAAGATAGTCCTTCAATCCATACCACGGGTGGGGTTTGATCCCGCGGTCAGAGAGTCTCAAAACTCCAGACTGTCGCGTTATCTATCACAATTCATCTAATATGATATAATAAACAATATTAATAACATAGAAACATGACGTATACTCTAGAATGAACAAAATACGTCATTATGTCACAAGTGTTGCTGTGTTGTTGTTGTTGGGTGTATAAGGGCCACTGAGACATAAACTATACATAGTGGTGGTGGAGGCAGCAGCAGCGGTAGAGACTAGAGACAGCGGTGTTGTCAGTCACCTTATATGACTCTAACAACATTGGAGGAGTTAGGTTTGTGCTGTCCTTTTTCTATCGATTAATCGCTTAACTTACTTGCTACACTGTTAATATTACACTTTATTGCTGGCTGGCACTACAGCCTTTGTCAACTCGTGCTGCTTTAGTATCGTATATATCATAGAATCACTGCATCACTGAAGAAGGCACATTCTCCCCTCTCTTTTCCTCCTCCACTTTGGTACTCTGCTATGAGTTCTTTCTTGAAATCTATAGTTTTTCTCACCTTCTTTACCAAAGGACTGGCAATAGTACAATACAGTGGACCCTCGCCTAACGATATTAATCCGTTCCTGAGAGCTCAACGTTAGGCGAAATTATCGTTAGGCGAATTAATTTTCCCCATAAGAAATAATGGAAATCAAATTAATCCTTTCCTGACACCCCAAAGCATGAAAAAAAAAATTTTTACCACATGAAATATTAATTTTAATACATAAACTGAAGAAGACATGCAGAGTTACATGACACTTACCTTTATTGAGGATCTGGTGATGATTGATGGGATGGGAGGAAGGGAGAGTGTGGATGGTCTTAGTGTTTAGAAGGGGAATCCCCTTCCATTAGGACTTGAGGTAGCAAGTCCTTTTCCGGGGTTACTTCCCTTCTTCTTTTAATGCCACTAGGACCAGCTTGAGAGTCACTGGGCTTCTGTCGCACAACATATCTGTCCATAGAGGCCTGTACCTCTCGTTCCTTTATGACTTTCCTAAAGTGTTTCACAACATTGTCAGTGTAATAGTCACCAGCACGGCTTGCAATAGCTGTGTCAGGGTGATTTTCATCAAAAAAGGTTTGCACTTTAAGCCACATTGCACACATTTCCTTAATCTTTGAAGTAGGCAACTTCTTCAATTTCTCTCTCCCCTCCTCCGAAGCAGTTTCCTCAGGTGTGGCCTCTTGCTGTTGAAGATGATCTAGCAGCTCATCAGTGGTTAGTTCTTCATTGTCCTCCTCCACCAACTCTTCCACATCCTCCCCACTAACCTCCAACCCCAAGGACTTCCCCAATGCCACAATGGATTCCTCAACTGGCATACGCTTCTCAGGGTTAGCCTCAAATCCTTCAAAATCCCTTTTGTCTACACATTCTGGCCACAGTTTCTTCCAAGCAGAGTTCAAGGTCCTCTTAGTCACTCCCTCCCAAGCCTTACCTATAAGGTTTACACAATTGAGGATATTAAAGTGATCTCTCCAAAACTCTCTTAGAGTCAATTGAGTTTCTGAGGTCACTACAAAGCAATTTCAAACAGAGCTTTTGTGTACAGTTTTTTGAAGTTTGCAATGGCCTGCTGGTCCATGGGCTGCAGGAGAGGAGTGGTATTAGGAGGCAAAAACTTGACCTTAATGAAGCTCATGTCTGCAGAAAGTCGCTCTGCCACGTCTGAAGGATGACCAGGAGCATTGTCTAATACCAGGAGGCACTTAAGGTCAAATTTATTTTCAATTAGGTAATTTTTCACAGTGGGGGCAAATGCATGGTGTAACCAGTCATAGAAAAAGTCCCTAGTGACCCATGCCTTACTGTTTGCCCTCCACAGCACACACAAATTATCCTTGAGGATATTCTTTTGCCTGAACGCTCTGGGAGTTTCAGAGTGATACACCAATAAAGGCTTCACTTTGCAATCACCACTAGCATTGGCACACATCAACAGAGTAAGCCTGTCTTTCATAGGCTTATGTCCTGGGAGTGCCTTTTCCTCCTCAATAATGTAGGTCCTGCTTGGCATTTTCTTCCAAAACAGGCCTGTTTCATCACAATTAAACACTTGTTCAGGTTTCAATCCTTCAGCCTCTATGTACTCCTTGAATTCCTGCACATATCTTTCAGCCGCTTTGTGGTCCGAACTGGCAGCCTCACCATGCCTTATCACACTATGTATGCCACTACAATTCTTAAATCTCTCAAACCAACCTTTGCTGGCCTTAAATTCACTCACATCACCACTAGTTGCAGGCATTTTTCTAATTAAATCGTCATGCAACTTCCTAGCCTTTTCACATATGATCGCTTGAGAGATGCTATCTCCTGCTATCTGTTTTTCGTTTATCCACACCAATAACAGTCTATCAACATCTTCTAACACTAGCGATCTCTGTTTCGAAAACAAAGTTGCACCTTTGGCAAGAACAGCTTCCTTAATTGCCATTTTCTTGGCCACAATAGTAGCGATGGTTGATTGGGGTTTACTATACAACCTGGCCAGCTCGGAGACACGCACTCCACTTTCATACTTAGCAGTGATCTCTTTCTTCATATCCATAGTAATTCTCACCCTTATTCCTGTAGGGTTGGCACTAGAAGCTTTCTTGGGGCCCATGGTCACTTATTTTGCAGGTGAAATCACTAAAAACACTGTGATAATATGAAATGTTCTGATTGTATGCTTGGATGTGACCGCAGAGACTGGCTTGTAAACACTGCCACCCACGGAACAAGTGAGGCTGGCTCAGGCCGCACGTGGACGCGTCTCGGACGAATCGCATTGAGCGAGCTTTTTAGCGCTAGGCGAGGCAAAATTTTTGCATTAAAATGTATCGCTAGGCGGATTTAACGTTATGCGATGCCATCGTTAGGCGAGGGTCCACTGTATTTTATGATGTTTCATGTGTTTTATGATTGTTCATGGTTCAGTAGGTTAAGGAAGCAGTATTGTATTATATTTCCCCACAGTACATTGGGGCACCAAACATTCAAAATTTTTTCAACATTCGCAAGGTTCTTGATCCCCTAACCCTTGCGAATGTTGAGGGAGACCTGTATTAGCATAATAAAGCATATTCCCCTGCATCATGAGGCTGAGCTCATGGCAACCGACAGTGGTTCAAAGCTACTTTATCTTTTATGCCTTACACAACGAGAAGCACTTCTTTTATTTGTTGGAACCATGGCTAGGGCTAAAAGTAAGCAGGTTATAACAGTAAATGGAGAAAAAGAAATTGGAGTGACTTATGCAGCAAGTAGCACCACCAAACAATACCAGCAGGTTGGTGTGGCGACTCTGGAAATTTGAAATTATGCTAGCTGAAATTAGTGCTGAATATCTGATGGAACCGGATGTCTGATTGCTGGATTTGTGATGGCAGACCTGTAGTGTACACAAATAATTTTAGCATGTGAAAAGATACTATTAAACTCTTTGGAACATTACATTTAATATTTCATATCTCCTCTGATTCTAACAAAAAATGGCATAAAAGAGGAGAAACATGTGAGATGTAGATTACATATAAAGTTTTACAATATAGAGTATTTACAGAAGAGGATACTTTAAGAATAGTGTACTTGAACCCTCAGCAGCCTATGGAAATAGATTCTATATAAATACTCAAAGAAGAAAAAAAAAGGAAGAAGTAATTGTACTGCAGTGGAACCTCAGTTTTTGTCTTTAATTCGTTCCAGAAAGTCTGACGAAAACAAAATTCGATGTAAGCTGAAGCAATATTTCCCATAAAAAATAATGTAAATTCAAACCATACCACGGGCAGGATTGAACCCGCGGTCAGAGAGTCTCAAAACTCCAGACCATCGCATTAGCCACTGGACCAGCTAGCTGGTCCAGTGGCTAACGCGACGGTCTGGAGTTTTGAGACTCTCTGACCGCGGGTTCAATCCCACCCGTGGTATGGTTTGTTTGCAATCGTGTCATTACGATTTCGTGAGTAATGTAAATTCAATTAATCCTTTCCAGACACCTAAAAGTATTAACAAAATATACGTTTTATAGTATAGTACTGTTTAGTTTTACATGCAGAAAACAATGAGAAATAAATATAAAGGACTAATGAAATGGATAAATGAACATTTACCATCACTTTTACCTTTATTGAAGACTCTTGTTGGTGTATGGAAGACAGCGAGGAGGAGAGAGGGAGGAGAGGTTATCTCTACCACTATCACTACCACCCTCTACCACCATCACTACCATGCTCTACCACAATCACTACCACCCTCTACCACAATCACTACCACCCTCTACAACAGTCACTACCACCCTCTACCACAATCACTACCACCCTCTACCACCATCACTACCACCCTTTACCACCATCACTACCACCCTCTACTGACAAGAAACAAAGCCAGACTGACTCAGAACGCCTGGGATGCTTTATGTGGGCGTGGGCGGACAAGTTTGGTACAGTGGACCACTGTCAACTCGATGAAAACCAAAGTGATGAACAAAAACTGGGACAAAATTTTGATGAAAAAAGTCATCAAAAACCGAGGTTCCACTGTATATGAGATATCACAAGGGTTTTGAAAAATGTACAGGATTACTAAGCTATCTGTTCTGTCTGGAAAATTATTCCCCCCAATTACTAAGCAAAATCGAGTTCTCATGGCAGGGATTAATTTTTTTTTTTTTTTTTTTCAACAAGTCGGTCGTCTCCCACCGAGGCAGGGTGACCCAAAAAAGAAAGAAAATCCCCAAACTCGCACATTATCACTGTTTTTGCAAAGGTGCTCGGAATACAACAGTTTAGAAGCATACACATATAAAGATACACAACATATCCCTCCAAACTGCCAATATCCCAAACCCCTCCTTTAAAGTGCAGGCATTGTACTTCCCATTTCCAGGACTCAAGTCCAACTATATGACTATAATATTGCAGTATTTTTCTGATACACATCACTATACATATATGATTGCTGAATCCAGTATATAACCACAAAGCCTTGTTAAAACACCTAGGGATTTTACAAAGTACTGTATCATAGTACTAGTTTCCCAGAAAGATTTATTATTATTTGAATGTATTGTGTACCCTATGGTGCCATGGACAAGTTGGCATTATTGTGGAAGAAAATTGTAATGTGTTCTTCAAAAAATTTTGTTTTTGTTTTTTGTATTTTGGAGTGTTTTTGCACTGATTTTTTATAGGGGCAGCCCACTCCACTATCCACCGGGGAAGCCATCATGTGTGCCTACAAGTTATGCAAGGTTGAATTTCGCTACTGGGGAATGCAGACCAAAATAGAAAAATTTATTCATGACATTGGTAAGTTTTCTTGAAATTTTTTTTATTATTTTACACAGATATAGAATATTATTTAAAGGAAATTTTAAATTACATTAAAAATATGCTTTCCTTGTTACAACATAGATATCAGAACATTCTGGGTTCAGTTCCTGGGCTGGTCAGTTAATGTGCATCCTATACCTATCCTGTTGGCAATAATCAAATTATAGAGGTACATAGTGGCTTCAGGGACTTAGCTCTAACATTCTGTTAGCTAAGCAAATTACAGTAATAAAGAACTTCTTCATATGCAAGGATAATATAAAGTATTCAGTACTGTTAGAAATGCTGGTCCAAGGGACTGGTAAAGGTGCTCTGATGATTAAGCAAGTTTCAGTTGTTATAAAAAATACCCTGACATTGCTTACTGTAAATGACTCATAACCATTGTTCCAGGATGGGCAAAACATGTGAACAGTTTTCCTAATATGACTCACAAAATCATAATGACATGATTGCAAACAAACCATACCATGAGCATGGTTAGAACCTGCAATCAGAGAGTCTCTGGAGATGGTCTGGAGTTTTGAGACTTTGATCATGGGTTCTAACCCCACCCGTGGTGTTAGTGAACTATTGTGAGTCACTGGAATTTGGAATGCACTGATGTAGAATAACAACTCATAGCCTGAAAATTGTACTTTGCAGAAATACATTTGGTTAATTTTTTCCAAGTGTATCAGCTTAAGAAATATAGTTACAGTATTTGAAGAGTGAATTGTATCATTTCTTAAGCTAAAGCCTCATAAATACTTTCAGTATATGTATAATAGATTGTAGCTACAGATGTTATATTAAGCAAAGAATTCAGGTGTATATTTAAAGGCTTAAGCATAGGAGAGAAAATGAAGAAAATTTGATTCACAAATATGGTGAGTTAAAAAGTTTGTGAGTATTAAAAGAAAATGAGGCATAACCCTTGATAGCAATAGAGTAGATAGAAGGAAGGAAGCAATATGAGGTACAAGTGGTAGGGAGGTTCGATATTTGCAAATGGATAGATAAAACTAGAGAGTTTGCTTTTCCAAGGTGATTCATTAAATCCACTTTAGAAAGTAGGTTCATACTTAAAAACAATTTATTTAACTACCATTCAATATAGTGATTGTGCCTGAGCAAACCTCCTTTGCCTCATGCATCAGTTACTCATTTGCTCATTTCATAGCAATTATCTTCAAATTTGCTTCAGTTTGTTCATTCCTAACTATCTCAGCCTTTGGTTGAATGTTATTCATCTGCATATTTTTCAATGAGTATACGTATGTCTATTTTTTTGGGTCATTAATCATTGCTGGGTATATAATCCCATTCTAAGTTTTCATTACTGCCTTTCTTTTGTTATACTCTGCATGAGAACATGTATATATAGACGTATTCATATATCTGATATGTTAAACATATATAGTATATCAATATATATCTGCTTACAGCTTTGAGAAAAACAATGCTCCGAGCTCATCGTCAGGCTTGGGCATGGATGGACGAGTGGTGGGGACTCACAATTGAAGACATTAGGAATATTGAGAAAGAAACTCAAAAGTTGCTTGCTAAGAAGTATGGACCAGGGAGTGATGAAGAAGAACTGGAAGGTGAATGTGGTAGTGCTTCTCCAGAAGCGGGAGCAGAGGATCCTCAGAGCCCCAGTGTTTCATCAGCTCGAACTCCAAATCTAGAAAAATTGAGCAAATACAGCTCATTTAGGACTAGTAATGATTTAGGCGAGCAGTCTAATGTTATTTGTGATGATGAAGAAACAGTGATAAAAGGTGTTGTAAATAATAATAATAATAACAATAATAATAGTATAGAAGGGGAAGACAGTAGGCAACTGTCTGGTACAAGTCCTAAGCTTCAAAGACGAGAACTAAATGTCAGTATGGACAGTGTACTCACAGATGAAACCAGAAAGAGAGGATCATGGTCAAGAAGTGGTTCTAGAAACACATTAAATTCCCAAAACCAAGGTAAAGCAATATATTTTGAAGCTATGTTTTTAAAAATGTTATATATGCCATGTACTATACTTAAGGTGTTTAATGTCATTATGTGGTTAATTATTTATTAATATTTTTGTGTCGTTTAATATCGGATAGCAAACTGGAGAATGGAGAGTATTAGAAGAGATTCCGATTCATCAGGAAGCGATGATGAATTCTTTGATTGTCAAGGTAAGTAATGTATTGTTGAACATTCTTACATACAATGGGTTGCTAGATCTTTCACAGTTGAAATTTATATTATTAGTTAACATTTTTTTTAGTATTAACAAGGGTATTTTGTTTAAAGAACCAAACCATGCTTATCTACATATATTTAGGTATACCTGTACATATAAACATCTTGAAAGACTCATTACTTGAATTGGGAATGATGATGATAATAATAATACATTATGGTAATTCATACTTTACATTAATTATCAGTCATTAGTAGTTGGGATGATATTACCTAACTATTCTCCAGTTATCATTGTGGCAAGTATGCCATCTTCAAAATACAGTAATCACTCTCTTAATAAGCATTCTTGCCATTTGAATCACAATACAATCACTTACCGGTTCAAATACTAGAATGATTAACCACTCTCAGAAAATGGCAAAAAAATAATCAAACCCTTTAAAAAGTTTAACCCAGTCCAGCTCCCATTTCCCAAATTCATTGTATTTATGATCATGGAAAAATTAAAAAGCTAAATCCAGTTAAAAATAAATTATATCAGCAAAAATATCTGCTAACAGTGCCAGTGCTTAGCTGTAGATACTAAGTGCCATTTAGCCAGTGATTGTTAAATGACTAATACCCAGCACCAGTACAACAGTAATACTCAGCACCAGTACAGCAGTAATACCTAGCACCAATACAACAGTAATACCCAGCACCAGTACAACAGTAATACTCATCACCAGTACAGCAGTAATACCCAGCACCAGTACAACAGTAATACTCAGCACCAGTACAGCAGTAATACCCAGCACCAGTACAACAGTAATACCCAGCACCAGTACAACAGTAATACTCAGCACCAGTGTACAGCAGTAATACCCAGCACCAATACAACAGTAATACTCAGCACCAGTACAACAGTAATACCCAGCATCAATATAACAGTAGTTGCTTAATCGCTGAGCAGGTCATCATCCGAGAGAGGTCCACCTCAGGTGACACTTCCTGTTTTCTGATAAACAAGCCACCACCACCTGTTCTTTGACTCTTAGTTATCATGTCTAATAACCTAATTTTATACTTAATTTCATTCCATCCATCTTAGAAGCAGACCCACCTTTGAGGCTCTTGCCATATTTTGAAACCATGGTTAATTCTAAAATATTACTGTAGTCCACATATTACACAAATAAATCAGTAATCATGCTAGCCATGGTAATTTACATATGTTGGTTATGAGGAAGGTGGGGTAGTAATCAGTAGTGTTGTCTGTGATTATCTCTCCTTTGAAAGGAGTTATTGTATTGGTCCAGATGTGGTCAATCTAAGATGCATTTGTCTCTGAAATTCTTGCAGGCTTAGTTATAGATGGTAATAGCAGGCAATTGCTCATATTGTTTGTGAAGTCCGCTACATGAGGGTCTTCAGTTTGAATAAGGCTTATGTTGAAGTCACCAGCAAATATTAGGTGATGTTTGTTTAATTAACTGCTTTTATATTATTAGGTTTTTAAGGTTGTCACTGAAGGTATTAGTATGAGGTGTTAGTAAGAGGTAACTTATAGACTGCACCACAACACAAGTTCACCTAGCTGGATGTTCAGTATGACTAGCAAGTAAATCAGCTGACTTTAGTCATGTGATTTTAAAACCCCAATACAGTATTCCTAGGATAGCCTTCAGTAAGAAGATTAAATAACTGAAGTCTGCAAATTTTGATGGTAGTGAATTTAGGGATTTGACTGTACAGTATTTGAAGTATGTACTGTAGTTCATTAAACCCTATGTAAAAAAAATGCATTTTTTTAATACTTTAAAACTACATAATATTTATACAGTATCGATGTGGAATGAACACATTACCATTCTGCTACTGTCTCTACACTAAGAATCTTGTTCTGATTTCATCAACCTGTGAAAGCCTTCAAAGTGGAACCCAATTTCACAATTGTACATAAATCTGGAAGGCAGGGCTCAGTACGGCATAAGCTCTCAGTGGCCTATAAACCCCAACAACAACAACAACAAGAATTATACATAAATCCATTATCACCCTGGGTACTAAGTATAGAAACAAATGTTCTTGCAAAGAAATAAGGAAATAGATAGTAACCCAAGCTTTCATTCCTTTTTCAACATATCTTTAGATACCTTGAAACACCAATGCAGTACCCAGGGCCGGATTAAAGCATGGGCTTTAGGGGCTGGAGCCCAGGGTCCTCCACCACCTGGAGGGCCTCCAGAGATTAGGTGAAAAGTGTTCACAGTTACTGCTGTAAATTTGTAATTATAGTATGGTGTTACTTCACATATATAATCAACTGTTGACTGTTGTGATTAATTTTTTTTCCTTTTGAAAATATCACTGGTTGCCTCACAGTGCCTGTAGCTCAGGGTCCTACAGAATCTTAATCCGGCTCTAACAGTACCTTGCTCTCAAAACATAGCAATAGACAAAATATCCTGAAAAACGTAAGAAGCATCTTAGCCTAGTGGCTACAAGCATGTATGTGTATACAGTTGTAGGTATTTGTGTGCATATACAGTCTGTATATACAGATGTATCTGACAGTTAACATATCTATTGGCTTTGATTGGGCAAAGAAGAGTGTAGCTTGTATTGGTTCCCCAGGTATGTCTGATGAGTTTTTTCACTTTGTGTGCTTCTTCATATGTATCGTTTGTGTGTGTGCATGCATGCACGCGTGTGTCCGTTTATGTGTGTGTGTGTGTATACTCGCCTAATTGTGGTTGCAGGGGTCGAGACTCAGTGTGTGTGTATGTGTTTGTACATGTGTGTGTGTGTATGTGTTTGTACATGTGTGTGTGTGTATGTATTTGTGTGTGTGTGTGTACTTACCTATTTGTGGTTGCAGGGGTCAATTCACAGCACCTGGCCCTGCCTCTTCACTGGTCACTACAAGTGTGTGTGTACTCACATAATTGTGGTTGCAGGGGTCAAGTCATAGCTCCTGGCCTTGCCTCTTCACTGGTCACTACTAGATCCACTCTCTCTCTACTCCATGAGCTTTATCATACCTCTTCTTAAAGCTGTGTATGATACCTGCCTCCACTACCTCACTTTTCAGACTGTTTCGCTTCCTGACAACTCTGTGACTGAAGAAATACTTCCTAACATCCCTGTAACTCATCTGAGTTTTTAACTTCCAATTGTGACCCCTTGTTGCTGTGTCCCATCTCTGGAACATCCTGTCTCTGTCCACCTTGTCAGTTCCTCTCAGTATTTTATATGTTGCCCTCCCTCCTGTCCCTCCTGTCCTCCAGTGTCATCAGGTCAAGTTCCCTTAACCTCTCCTAGTAGGACATGCTCCTTAGCTCTAGTTGTACTCACCTAGTTGTGGTTGCAGGGGTTGAGTCACAGCTCCTGGCTCTGCCTCTTCACTGGCTACTACTGGGTCACTCTTCTCACTCCATGAGCTTCATCATACCTTTTCTTACAGCTATGTATGGATCCTGCCTCCACTACATCGCTTCCCAAACTATTCCATTTCCTGACAACTCTGTGACTGAAGAAATACTCCCTAATATCCCTGTGATTCATCTGAATCTTCAACTTCCAACTGTGACCCCTTGTTGCTGTGTCCCATCTCTGGAACATTCTGTCTCTGTCCACCTTGTCAATTCCTTTCAGTATTTTATATGTCGTTTTCATGTCCCCCCTATCTCTCCTGTCCTCCAGTGTCATCAGATTAATTTCCCTTAACCTCTCTTTGTAGGACATACCCCTTAGCTCCGGGACTAGTCTTCTTGCAAACCTTTGCATTTTCTCTAGTTTCTTTATGTGCCTGGCTAGGTGTGGGTTCCAAACTGGTGCTGCATACTCCAGTATGGGCCTAATGTACACAGTGTACAGGGTCCTGAATGATTCCTTATTAAGATGTCGGAATGCTGTTCTTAGGTTTGCTAGGTGTCCGTATGCTGCAGCAGTTATTTGGTTGATGTGTGCCTCAGGAGATGTGCCCGGTATTATACTCACCCCAAGATCTTTTTCCTTGAGTGAGGTTTGTAGTCTCTGGCCCCCCTAGATTGTACTCCATCTGCAGTCTTCTTTGCCCTTCCCCAGTCTTCATGACTTTGCACGTGGTGGGGTTGAACTCCAGGAGCCAGTTGTGTGTGCGCGTATGTGTGTGCGTGCGTATGTGCATGCATGCATGCATGTGTGCGTGCTTGCATGTGCGTGTCTGTGTGTGTGTGTTCAAATTATAATTTTACAGATGTATTGGCATATTTATATGTAAGTCTCCACTTTTCGGTTAATTTATTCATACAGTATATTAAGTCATTCATATTTTTATCATATGAATCCCTCAGAAAAATATGAGGTATTGTACTTTCAAACATATTGTTGTCCATTAAGAGGTAAATAGTCTTTTTGGAATTCTGAAAAACTAAAAGCATATACCACACACTCCACATTCATTATACTGCATATACAGCACAGTACAGTGGACCCCCGGTTAACGATATTTTTTCACTCCGTAAGTATGTTCAGGTGCCAGTACTGACCGAATTTATTCCCATAAGGAATATTGTGAAGTAGATTAGTCCATTTCAGACCCCCAAACATACACGTACAAATGCACTTACATAAATACACTTACATAATTGGTCGCATTCGGAGGTAATCGTTATGCGGGGGTCCACTGTATTTTATATCCTCATGTAATTAAGTTTCGAAGGGGACTGGTAATTTTTATGTTCTTTGTATCTTTGTTAAGTTATTAATTATACTGACTACTCATTTTTTCTTTATTAAGGTTTATAATCAGTCTAGTTTCACTAATTTTCTTATTTTAAAACATAAGATGCCTAAAATGTTTTATGACAGCATGATTGGATTGTTCATAAGTTTTATTTGAATTAGCATATGAGTATAAAGTAATTGAAGCATTACTCAGAGCACTTTACACTTTAGTACAGTATGTCTCTTTGTTGCATTACTACTATATGTGTGCGTGTGTGTGTTTGGATTGCTTCTTATTATTTTGGTGTTTGTCACATACTTTGTGCAATGATATGTTGAGCAAGTGGGCTACTTTTGTATAATGCACATTATTTTTGACATAATGTTGGTAGATCAATAAGTAATTATCGTTTTTGTGCACATTCCTTGTAATTTTATAAGTATGGTAACAGATGTTTTTTCTTCTTTTGCTATTAAGGGTAAACTGTACTTTACACTTAACCTTTTCTGCTTGTACATCTTAGTGGCTTCAGTCATTTTTTCTGGTGTACATTTTGCATGTTAGAATAAATTTTCCTGTAATTATGTCACATATAGACAAGTTATTGAGAAAGTTTTCGGTAAAATTGGCTTTAATATAGTAATATGACAACTGTAAGCTTAACCACTGTATAGTCTGTAAAGTTTCATATCTTGAACACAATCTAAACAGATATTAACACTAGCTAGTATCCTTTTAGGAGTGAAAGAATTAAACAAGGCTTTTCCAGATGCTAAATTTAATTATTTTAAGTGAAGTTTTAAAATATTAGTTCTGTACTGTGGAACCTCAAAAATTGAACTTAATCTGTTCCAGGAGTTAGTTCTAAATTCGAAAAGTCTGAAATTCGAAGCAATATTTCCCATAAGAAATAATGGAAATACAATTAATCCGTTCCAGAAACCCAAATGTATTCACACAAAAAATACATTTTATAGAGATTAATTACAGTTTACATACAACAAATACTATAGTTTTTAATTATGTATAGTAATACATATAAAATAACATTTTTACTTACCTTTATTGAAGATTGGTGATGGCATCTGGAAGATAGGGAGGAGGAGAGAGGGAGTTGGGGTTAGCGTTTGGAAGGAGAATCCCCCTCAATGAGTTAAAGCCCTCTCTGGGGTTACTTCCCTTCTCTGTCTTTTAATGCCACTAGGACCAGCTTGAGAGTCACTGGACCCCTGTCTCACAAAATAACTGTCCACAGTCCTCTGTTTCTGGTGCCTCTTTAACATTTCCCTAAAATGGGACATGGTTCTGTCACTGAACTTGTTGCAAAGATGGCTTGTTTCAGCTTGCTCAAGGTGATACTTCTGCACAAACATTTGGACATCATTCCACTTGGCACAAATCTCCTTAAACTTTGAAGAAGGCACCTCATCCACTCCCTATATTAACACCTTTTGCAACATCAGCTTCCTTGATTTGTTCTTTCTTTGACAAGATAGAACCGATGGTCGACTTGTTTTTCCCATACATCCTGGCAAGCTCAACAAGTCTCACACCACTCTCATACTTCTGTATTATTTCCTTCTTCACATCTATGGTGTTTCTCACTTTCTTTACCACAGGGGTACCACTAGCAAGTTTCTTTGGGCCCATGGCAGCTTATTTCACAGTCCCACAAGCACTAAACACAACGAAATAATCGTAAAATGCGTTAGTGTTCACTCAAGCATAAACAAAGCTAGACTGCTCACGGCGCCTGCATGGGGATGAGGACAGAGCAGGCTGGCAGACAGGTCCCGTACCCGGCGGTCCGAAAATAGGGGCGCATTTGATAATAGGGACACAGTGTGTCCGAAAAAATGGTCCTATTTTCGAAACGTTCGATATGTGATACATTCGATTTTTGAGGTTCCACTGTATTAGGATGTTCAGTTGTCTTCTGTGGCATTTGTTTTCCTCTGTTAATTAATGATGCTCTGTTTTGCTGTAGTACTGTATTCTAAACTTTTATCTTTGTACCATTTGTAACTAAATAAAATTTTTTTAAAAAAGATTATATCATATAAATAATTTTTGGTAAGCCAGAATTGATTTTAGTTATTGACACTAACTATATATTAAATTTAGAATAAGAAGACCAGATAATGTACAAATAATATACAGTACAAAATCTTAATGTACAAAAATCTTAATGTTCAATTAAAGAATAAACCATATTACTGTATATGTATTTGTAATTGTACACTGGCTTAGACTTGAGCTCATGTACATTACATTGTAGAATTAATGAGCTTGCAAAATTACATCTGAATATCAGCACAAGTTTTTTCTTTCTGTGATACGTTTTTATGTCATTTGAGCCTTTTTTTATATAATTAAATAATGAATCATGCTAATAGCATACGTATTCTTTCTCAAGATTATATTGTAATACACACTTACAGAACATGATGAGTCTTATTTATTTTTAATATTATTCCCATTTACAATAAACAGTTAAGTAGGCCTGTCTCACTAATAAGGATTGCTGCAAAAAAATACAGTGGAACCTTAAATATTGAACTGCTCCCAACTCAACCAATTATGTAAGTGTATTTTTGTAAGTGCTTTTATAAGTGTATTTTTGAGGGTCTGAAATGAACTAATCTAATTTACATTATTCCTGATGGGAATAAATTTGTTCGGTAACGGCACTCGAACAGCCATCTGGAACGAAGAAAGTTCGATATTTGAGGTTCCACTGTACTGCAAAAAAGTCATTAGCGAAATATGGGTTAAGTATTTGGAAAGGAAAAATTTGTTAACAACTTTTAGATCAGTTTTTGATAGGCACTCTTTAAAGATTAATCTGGAAACTAAATATTCAGGAAGCATAAAAATAAATAATTTCAGTAGACAAAAGATTTTCTGTTTGAAAGGAAAATGCAAGTAATGGTAGGAAACAATGTCTTTATGAAGAAATGTTGCTAATGGGGTGCCATTAGGATGGGTGTTTTCTCTAATAATGTTTCTAAATAATTGACAGAAGGAATAAAAGTCTAAATAAATGTTTGCAAATGGTGGAAAAATACTATTTAAAAGAAATAAAAAAAAAAAACTTTAAATCATCACAGGTAGACTTGCACAAATTAACTGTGTGGAGTGATAGATTGATGATGGAATGTTTTGTTAATAAGTGCAATGTAATGGAAATGGGAGAAAGTGAAAACAGGCCTCATGAAGTATGTAGATAATGTGAAAATACTGAAAGCTTCAATCAGAGAGAGACCTAGGTGCCATCATTGATTAAACATTGTCATTGGAAGATTATATTAGTTGTGAGAAACTCACGGAATGAAAATTTTTTAACATTAGTAAGAAGAAGAACAAGAGACCATACTTGTAAACTGAGGAAGAAGCACTAAAGGGATAATAGAAATTTCTTCACAGTGATAGAACATTAGAATAGGATACAAGAAAAGGTAATAAGTGCTGCTATCAGTGAAAATTTTAACCAAAATATGAGATATTAAATACTAAAGGGACACAGTGAGCTTAGTTCTGCACCTGTAATTTCAAGTAGATACTTGTATTAGGTAATTACAAATAGATAATTACAGTAGGTGATTAACTGGTGTCCTACCCTCATACAGGGAAGCTCTGTCAGGCATAACACCTTACACAGAACAGCAGAATCTAATGTGGTTCTAGAGGCTCTGAGTCTGTGAACTTTAGGTAGAAAAAATTTCATTCTCATTTATAAATAGAACATTAATCAAAAACTTCATTGCAAAGTTAAAGTAACAATTGTTAATAAATAATAGGATGGTTTAATAAATTTCTAATAAATCATTTTTTCTAGAAAATGTGCTGAATGCCCTCCTTAACCCTTCAACTGTCCAAACGTAGATCTACGTTTGCTCACATAACGCTCCAAATGAAGATCTAAGTTTTATTTTACATTTGACATTATGTAAAATAAAACGTAGATCTACGTTTGAAGCGCTAGTGGTACAAACGTAGATCTACATTTGAACAGTTTAAAGGTTAATTTGTATGTGTACAATAGCTTGTAGATGGGAATGATAAATGTTAGCTTTTATGTGGCTTTAAAAAATATCTGCTTTATTTAAAAGCAAATTTCATATTTTATATTACCCTTATAAATATTTAATTAGCAGTATGGTTCATAATTTAATTAATTTTACATTTCTATGAGCCTTTTAGGTTATACTGTGTTATCAGTATGGTAAGTCATTTTGTATTACTATACATGTACAGAAATGGAATACTCTACCTTCATATGTGATGTCAATAAAGAAATTATTAAAAGATCATTATGTCTTAGAGGGAGTCATTAGCCTTTCTCTAATATAAAAACAGTTTAAAATTTTATCTATGACTTTTAAATATTTGTAAATTTCAATATTATTTGGTGAATAGACTTCCATTCACTAAGTGAATTAAAATTTAATATTTATTGTACAGCATTTGTAGTAATTGTTTGATTTGTTTTGGTATGAGTAATGCTAAAATGCTTTAAACTTTTCACTCCATTCAGTAGTTTTCTTTACCAAAACAAAATGCATTATATAGTACCATATGTACCAGAATTGTATTCCAGACTTTAACACACGCTTTTCTCGCATGGCAGTAATACACAAAAAATATGTGTTTGTATATTTGGTGATCAATTTTACAGTAAAATTTTTTATTTTGCTCTCTGTTTTATGTTTTTGCATATTCTAGGTAAAGTTATACTATTAATTTTGGGACATATGGTACCTTTATCTGAATAACATAATAGATTTATCTTATTAAGTCATAGATGGTTAGATTTCAGTGTGGTGCAGATGTGCATGTTCTTGTGTCTCATTGGTTCATCTGTTTGTTTTATGCAGGGTCAGCCATCCCCATAATAAAGGGTATGTACCAAAGTGTTCTGCCCAGGCCTGCCCAGACTTGCATGTGTGCCATTTATTGTCCTGTATAGTCCCTCTGTTGTAGAACTTAGTGAGTTGGCAGGTTTGTTGCCATACTGTTGAGTTACTATTATATGCAGAGTTATCAGTATAGGTTCTTGTGCTTTTCATCCTTAACATATTAATTTTCCTTGTACAAGTACAATTTATTTCTTTATGCTTTATTTTCTTGGTATTATTTGCCTTGTAATTGTTAGTATTATTTATTTGTTGTACAGTATATCATGTGTTTTATTTCAGTGCCTATTTGTTAGCATAGTTTTGGTGTTGTGAATTCTTTAATGCTGCCACTCAGTTCTTCAGTGCCAGTATCTTCATTGTCTTGTTATCACTACAGCCATATTAGTGTAGTTTCTCCTTTGCTTTTCATAATTTTTCATTATTACCAAGTTCCAGGATAGTATTCCAGAAGATGAAGAAAACAGTTCCTGACTTCCAACAGTATTATCTCTATACAATACTCAGTTTTTTGTACCCTCTTCCAGGCATAGGTAAAATATATATCTGTGTACACCTAGGTTCCTTTTCTCATGCATTCAATCTTCAGAAAGGAATTTCTTGCGCCTTACAAATTAATTTTTCTTCGTTGACAAACAGTTTGATTCCACGTGGCATATAAAGGCTTGTAACTGTTGAACGATAAATAAATAAATATATAGTAAACAGCTGGTGTGTTGAGGGATAAGGAATGGTGTGGAGGCAAACACTGCACATGTGAATCAGCAATGCTTTGCAATAAGCACTTTGCCTCAGTATGTTTATGACAATTTTTCTAATAAGCTCTGAAAATATAATGCATTTATGGAATCTAAATATAAAGAATAAATTTAGAACCTCTGATTAGCTAGATAAATCTAATTCAAAATTACAAACACTAGTTTAACAAATATTCTGGTATGCATTAGATCTTTCACAAAGATTTGGAAACTTTAAAAGTAGGAATAATGTAGGTTACTTAGAATTATGATACCATGTATGTACAATAAACTTTTTTTTTACTGTATCTTCATTATTTAAGCACATGACATAGAGAGTTTTGTCTCCGATTTTGCCACTAAACTGGTAATACTAAATTGATACTGTCGAATGTAGAGCTGAGATGGTTTTTAACTAGGCTTAGTGAATGTCATGTTTGCTGTGTTTTGTTTCATAAGAAAGTTGAAAGTGAACATAGAAAAGAGTAAGGTGATGAGGGTATCAAATGATTTAGATAAAGAAAAATTAGATATCAAATTAGGGAGGAAGAGTATGGAATAAGTGAATGTTTTCAGATATTTGGAAGTTGACGTGTCAGTGGATGGATTTATGAAGGATGAGGTTAGTTATAGAATTGATGAAGGAAAAAAGGTGAGTGGTGCATTGAGGTATATGTGGAGACAAAAAACTTTATCTATGGAGGCAAAGAAGGGAATGTATGAAAGTATAGTGGTACCAAGACTCTTATATGGGTGTGAAACTTGGGTTGTAAATGCTGCAGTGAGGAGGCAGTTGGAGGCAGTGGAGATGTCCTGTCTAAGGGCAATGTGTGGTGTAAATATTCTGCAGAAAATTCGGAGTGTGGAAATTAGGAGAAGGTGTGGAGTTAATAAAAGTATTAGTCAGAGGGCTGAAGAGGGTTTGTTGAGGTGGTTTGGTCATTTAGAGAGAATGGATCAAAGTAGAATGACATGGAGAGCGTATAAATCTGTAGGGGAAGGAAGGCGGGGTAGGGATCGTCCTCGAAAAGGTTGGAGGGAGGGGGTAAAAGAGGTTTTGTGGGCGAGGGGCTTGGATTTCCAGCAAGCGTGCATGAGCGTGCTAGATAGGAGTGAATGGAGACGAATGGTATTTGGGACCTGACGATCTGTTGAGTGTGAGCAGGGTAATATTTAGTGAAAGGATTAAGGGAAACCAGTTATTTTTATATAGCCAGACTCGAGTCCTGGAAATGGGAAGTACAGTGCCTGCATTTTAAAGGAAGGGTTTGGGATATTGGCAGTTTGGAGGGATATGTTGTGTATCTTTATATGTATATGCTTTTAAACTGTTGTATTCTGAGCACCTCTGCAAAAACAATGATTATGTTTGAGTGAGGTGAAAGTGTTGAACAATGATGAAAGTATTTTCTTTTTGGGATTTTCTTTCTTTTTGGGTCACCCTGCCTCGGTGGGAGATGGCCGACTTGTTAAAAATAAAAAAAAAAGGGACTCCCAAAATACAGAAGCCATGTTGTTTGTCATAATTCTTTATTCTATTTCTTTCCAATATATGCATTTTTTAGTTTAATTTGGTTTTACAGTTATTCATTTTATATTCTGTAACACTTTGACATGTGGGATGTCTTATACATTATCCGATAATCTTTGGTAGTTCCATTTCCCTCCTCTCAATCACAGCTGTTAATTTTTCACCTGTGGTGACTTTCCTGGCTGCAGGGACCCCTCTGTGTCTTCCTTGTAACTAGTGGCTCTAGGAGACCAGCTTCCGAGATCCCCTAAAGCTACCTAGGGATGACTAGAATAGCCCTGGACTATGGCTAAAAACCATACTCATATTATATCAAAGGACTAGTCAGTTTACTAAGGGAATTGATACTCTTTGATAGATCAAGTGAGTTGATAATGAAATCTAAGTGCCTAGGAAACAGTGGAAATATTTGGGTAATGTATAGAGGATAAATTGTCACTGACATACCCGATCAAATACTAGGGGGCCAAGGTTGTACTCAAAGCTGCTGGGTAGTAAGTAGCCTTCTAATTCTGGGTCTACCATACTTATGTACTACTCATTCCAATCAGTGATCGTTAATCCAAGTTCTCAGGCAGGCTGGAATACTAGGTTAGGGTAAGGTAATAGCTTACAATAGGTGGGTCTTCAGCAACAGCAACCATTTGAAAGGCACTCTAAATTAGTAATAGTAATAATGCTAGTTTCCAATAAACTGGCCACACACAAACTGGCTTAAGTAATAGGCATAGCTTCATGGAGTCTCAGTTGCAGTAATGACTCAACATGGGACTCAGACTGTCAGTATCCAACTTAATATGGCTACCTGTATCACTAAATCAGTTAATTAATTTCTTAATATAATCAAATACAAGCTTTAATACAAGGATAATGGTATGGTAAATTAAGGCTCACAGAGTCTTATGACTGGTGGAACTTTATGACTGAACCAGGGGTTCTCTAATGTAACATTATGAGACATCCAGATTGAGTTCTACCTAGGAATAATCTGTACAGATTAAAGAGGTGATAAAACTTAATGGTCTGGATTCATGGGAGTCACATGGCTTGCAGGGTCCAAGATGGGGCCAACTCTGACCACAGTAAATATCTGCAGGCCTCCAGGTTTATGGTGAGAATGAGACATAGAACTTTGTTAAGCTGCCTCTTCTTCCCCATACATCGGGATGGAGGGCTTAATATGGCAAAAGCTGTCAGTGGCCATTAAAACCCATAGCAAAAAGAATCTAAAATATAATTATAATTATATACAGGCTCTCCTCACTTAGCGACGTACTGGTTTACTGACAACTTGGACTTACAGTGGGCTCTCTGACCAGTATGCATACTTAAATATAATGTATATTAGAGCTGATTTACTCTATTCTGTTTATTACAGTTTACAGTACAGTGGATCCTCGACCAACGATGGCATCGTCTAATGTTAAATCCGACTAGCGATACATTTTAACGCAAAAATTTTGCCTCGACTAGCGCTAAAAAACTCGACCAACATGATTCGTTCCGTTCGAGACGCGTCCACTTGTGGCCATTGTTTACAAGCCAGCCAGTCACCGCGGTCCCATCCAAACATACATTCGGAACATTTCATATTATCACAGCATTTTTAGTGATTGCACCTGCAAAATAAGTCACCATGGGCCCCAAGAAAGCTTCTAGTGCTAACCCTACAGCAAAAAGGGTGAGAATTACTATGGATATGAAGAAAGAGATTATTGCTAAGTATGAAAGTGGAGTGCATGTCTCCGAGCTGGCCAGGTTGTACACAAAATCCCAATCAACCATCGCTACTATTGTGGCCAAGAAAACAGCAATCAAGGAAGCTGTTCTTGCCAAAGGTGCAACTATGTTTTTGAAACTGAGATCGCAAGTGATAGAAGATGTTGAGAGACTGTTATTGGTGTGGATAAACGAAAAACAGATAGCAGGAGATAGCATCTCTCAAGCGATCATATGTGAAAAGGCTAGGAAGTTGCATGACGATTTAATTAGAAAAATGCCTGCAACTAGTGGTGATGTGAGTGAATTTAAGGCCAGCAAAGGTTGGTTTGAGAGATTTAAGAATCGTAGTGGCATACATAGTGTGATAAGGCATGGTGAGGCTGCCAGTTCGGACCAAAAATCAGCTGAAAAATATGTGCAGGAATTCAAGGAGTACATAGACAGTGAAGAATTGAAACCTGAACAAGTGTTTAATTGTGACACTGACAATGTTGTGAAACACTTCAGGAATGTCATAAAGGAACGGGAGGTGCAGGCCACTATGGACAGATATGTTGTGTGACAGAGGTCCAGTGACTCTCAAGCTGGTCCTAGTGGCATTAAAAGAAGAAGGGAAGTAACCCCGGAAAAGGACTTGACACCTCAAGTCCTAATGGAAGGGGATTCCTCTTCTAAACACTAACACCATCCACACTCTCCCCTCCTCCCATCCCATCAATCATCACCAGATCTTCAATAAAGGTTAGTGTCATGTAATTGTACATGTCTTCTTCAGTTTGTGTGTATTAAAATTAATATTTCATGTGGTAAAAAAATTTTTTTTCAATACTTTTGGGTGTCTTGCACGGATTAATTTGATTTCCATTATTTCTTATGGGGAAAATTAATTCGACTAACGATAATTTTGATTAACGATGAGCTCTCAGGAATGGATTAATATCGTTGGTCGAGGGTCCACTGTACTAAAGTATAATCATTTTAAAAATATACTTAAAATGTTATAAATGGTGCAAAGGTGACATTAAAATAATATTAAAGATGGTTGACACAAACCCAGTACCATTAAGTATACTCCTTGCTTGGCAACGAATTCGTTTATTGACGTAGTCTTAGGAATGGAACTCTGTTGTTAAGTGAGGAGAGGCTGTAATTATAAATAAGTAAAAATATGTAATTATAATTAAGTAAAAATATACATGTATACATAATTGTAATTAAGTAAAACATACATGTATATGTAATTTTAATTAAGTAAAAATATAAAATCATAATTAAGTAAAAATTCAGAAGTACAGTAGACTCCCACAACAGGCAGATTCTCTGCAAAACTCAGCTGAGTGCACCCAAAAATCAAGATTTTAAAATCAAGTGGCTGGTGTGCAACCTATCTCCAATTTGGATTAGCACTTCACTGTATTGTGATGTTTACCAGACAGCTTCACCTCCCACCCTCTCCCTAACATCATTGCCCACAAACCCAATAGCCACCAGGCATTTTTGGATACATAATGCCATCATCCTTCCTTTGCGGATGACACCCGGGTTTCCATTACAGTGACCTCCATCAAAGACACTGCAAGACTCCAAGTGGACATAAACCAAATCTTCAAATGGGCCACTCAAAACAATATAAAGTTCATTGAAGAGAAATTTCAACTACTCAGACATGAAAAACCCGAGGAAATTAAAACTCTATCAGGGTATACGACAAATTCTAACCATACAGTAACGCGAAAAAGTAAAGTGAAGGACCTAGGAGTGATAATGTCAGAGGATCTCGCCTTCAAAGACCACATCAATGTATCTACTGCATCTGCTAGGAAAATGTTAGGATAGATAATGAGAACCTTCAAAATTAGGGATGCCAAGCCCATGATGATTTTTTGTTCTCTCTAGGCTGGACTACTGCTGTACACTAACTGCCCCCTTCAAGGCAGGCGAAATTACTCACCTGCAGAGTGTACAAAGAACTTTCACAGCACACATAAGTACGATAAGGCACCTAAATTACTGGGAACGGTTGAAGGCCCTTGATCTGTATTCCCTGGAGCACAGGCGAGACAGATGCATGATAATATACACTTGGAAAATCTTAGTGGGATTAGTACTTAACTTGCACACGAAAATCATTCCCTATGAAAGCAAAAGACTCAGCAAGAGATGCAACGTTTCCCCAATGAAAAGCAGGGGCACCATGAGTACACTGAGAGACAACACAATAAGTGTCCTGGGCCAAAGACTGTTCAACTGCCTCCCAGCGTACATAAGAGGGATTACCAATAGACCCCTGGCTGTTAGGTAAGACACATATGCAACAGTTAGGTATCTTTATTTCGAAACGTTTCGCCTACACAGTAGGCTTCTTCAGTCGAGTACAGAAAAGTTGATAGAAGCAGAAGATACTTGAAGACGATGTAATCAGTCCATCACCCTTAAAGTTTTGAGGTGGTCAGTCCCTCAGTCTGGAGAAGAGCATTGTTCCATAGAATGAAACAATATGGAGATGAAGTGACAGGATGGAGCCTTATATAGCGCCAAGAGGTGAGACGTAGGTCACTAGAAGAGGTAAGAACTCAGATGTTGGGAGGTCAGGTCCCTCTCAAATCCACCCGTTCTCACTAGTAGAGGTTGTCGAAGTTGATTGTAGGTCTGTACCAAGATACCCTTGTGTTGCAGTGTCTGACAGATTGAACATTAAAATGGTATAAAATACCGACAGGTTGTTAGGTAACACACATATGCAACTGTTGCATATGTGTCTTACCTAACAACCTGTCGGTATTTTATACCATTTTAATGTTCAGACCCCTGGCTGTCTTCAAGACGGCACTGGACAGGTACCTAAAGTCAGAACCTGACCAACCGGGCTGTGGTTCATACGTCAGTTTGAGTTCGGCCAGCAGTAACAGCCTGGTTGATCGGACCCTGATCCACCACAAGGCCTGGTCTCAGATCAAGCCATGGGGACATTGACCCCCAAAACCCTCTCCAGGTAAACTCCAGGTATCCCATCTCATCTCTTGATATTAACACTGGCAGTTGAGAACACCACCAACAGTGGCACCACCACTATAAGAACATAAGAATGTAGGAACACTGCAGAAGGCCTACTGGCCCATACGAGGCAGGTCCTTATCAAAACGACATCTACCTAAAGCTACTCAAGAAATAACTCCCGTACCCAATGACACCAATCAAACCCAGCCCTGCTAGTAGCAATGCCACTGTCAGGAACAATAGCAGCAGCACCAATAGGAGCCAGGAGGAGCAGCATGCACCTGGCCACAACAACATATTGGGAAGGTTTATATACAAGCCTCTGCTTATTTATCATTCAGAAAATTCCTTTGCAGGACAAGTCATGTTTACCCTTTATTTGTCCCCCTTGATTGTTAGGACACTCAGTCCACACATTGAGGTCTGTGGTTTGATCTTTGATACGGGTGGAAACATTAGGACGTGTTTCCTTAAGACATCTGCTGTCCCTGTTCACCTAGAAGTAGATAGGTACCTGGGTAATAGCCAACTGGTGTGGGTCACATCCTGAGGACAAAACTGACCTGATTTGCCCGAAATGCTCTGCATGACAAGGAACTTTTTATATAGTGATATGTCATTGATGTCAGGTAGGCCTCTGTACCTTGTACCTGTACGTACTTGGAAAAATAAAGATTATTGTTGTTATTACTATTATTATAAGATGGATTGTATGCCTGAGAAATTACTGAGTGGCAGAACAGGTGCTTAAGCATTACACTTCTCTGCTCAAACATGTCAGATTTTATAAGAAAAGCCAATGCTCATTTATTGTCAGAGAATTCTTTCACATTGAAAGGTGAGAGTCATGTTTACCCTTTGTTGTGAGGTTTGTGATGTAACCCTATTTTTCCCATGTAGTATATTATGAATTTTGTATAGTACATTTTTCACAATACACACTGATTTCCAGGACCATATACCTCAAGGGAGGTATCTTGATGCCAGTGAAGGGCTCTTGATCCAAGGAAGTGCACCTATCCTTCCCTTTCTTGGATTGAGACTGATTGATTCCCATGCCCCATGCACTGCTTGTCCCCTATGGGTTTAACATTTCCCTCATTTATAATAATAGTAATATTAATTCAGGAACATAACCTGCACATCTTGTGATGTTGTACTTTAGTGAAAAATCAATAGAAAACAAAACACACACAGATGCAAACACCATAGTACATATACCTTTTTAAACCCTCATGCAAGGAAGAGTTTCACTTGCATTCAGAGCACTGGCATGTGTGAGATGCCTGGGGCAGCAGTGTATTGAAATATCTAATAACATTTTCCCAGCCTTTATTGCACTGTGATAGCAAAATGCTGTGGTGTATGTACAGTATTGGGGTATCAAAGTATGAAATATTATTCTGGAAATGAGTTCCCTGAAAGCATTGTATGAGAGTCTATTGTATTCTCTCTTCTTATTCCTATTAATTTCTCTTTGGTTTGTAAAAATTTGTTCAGTTTTTGTACTCTGACTTAAATACAGTACTGACTTTATGAAGGTTTAATAGCAAAAATTTTATTTAACAAGTCATTAGAAATAAACGAGTAACTTGTGTAATGAAAGGCTACTAGCATTATGTTGCTTACTGTACTGAAGGTGGTATTAAGCTCTCTTGCTAGACTCACTCTCCAAGGTTGGTTTTGAAACATGTGGCAGCCCAAGTGAGTGATTGCAAGTGCAGTTACTTTATTTTGCACAAATATAATGTTAGTTTTTATTTTAGTAATAGTTTTAATTAAAGAAATAGCCAACATTACTGCATTTGTGCTGTTCACAGCTCAAAACCAAAATAAAAAGACAAAATGAAATTAAACTGCAACATTAATAGATTTCATGGACCCTGGGTGCTTTCTTTTGTCTGTGCCTTCTTAAGAATTGCAGGTGTAGCGTTTAAATTAATTATACTAATAATAAATATGAATTGCAATACGTACATGTACGTATTAATGCCGTTAAAGCCATATATGGCCATATAAGGCCACATGAAATTTGAGCTTGGCAGTCATGGCTCAGAATCAACATTAATTGGCTGTTGTGAGTTTATCAAACAATACTTCACTTCTTATCATTCACTGAGCATTTAGTAACATTCCAAAGAATGAATTACCCTTACAAGTTAATATTTTTTTGGATAATTTTCCATTTTTTTTTTTTTTTTTTTGGTCAAAATTTATACCCTTGGAACTTACCTCCGTTTGCAAGTTTATAGGAAAATGTATTTCTTTTAATGAAGATTCACCTGATAGTTTTCTAGGAACACAGCTCATTTGTTAAGCATGGATTGTCTGTACAGTATTATTGCAGTTATAATTACAGTTCCTTGACACATTAATACATCTGCTTTTAAGTAATAAGAATTATGTGGGTGATGTAGTGTTTGTCAATAGTTTTTATGTTCAGTTGCAAGTTGCATTATTAAGTGTAATTAAAGTGATAGTTTAGATACAGTATAACCCCCATCCTTGTTTTTTTAAATACATCCTTGCAAGCTATAAATGAGTTGCATATTTTTTACATAGAGAATGAGCTCACCAATGTATTATTTGAACTGTATCTTTTTTAATAAACTCTTGCACATTATCTATAATAAGGACTAGCCATATTACTGTACTATACTAATTTAAAGATTGATTTTAAAAAAATATTTAAATGTGTCTAAAATATGGGATATTTAATTATACTTTAAAATTGATTGGCCACATTGAGCAAAGTACAGCATCCTTATTATAAATACAATAGTAGGATGTTGTTACTCGTTATTATTATATTTAAGATGATGGTAGCCTTTTTTTCATCTTCTTACACAGAAGACCTAGAAGAGAATGCCGCATTACATAAATGGAGCTCACTGGAACTATTACCCCAAGATGGAGACTCTCAGTCCACAGTTGGCCACTCTGGTAATGAGGGTAAGATGTTCATAACTAGTAAATTCCACTCTGTTTTAAGATAAGATATCAGATAATTTTAGTCAAGAATAAAGTTAAAATTATGAGTATGCCTAATGTATTGCAGAACAATAAGTAAATAATAGAGTACTAGTACTCTGCAGTACCTCAGTGATACAAATGATTATAAGAAAATTAACAGTATATCTGCACATTAATTTAAAGGTCATATATAAATGTTATATTTACCTGGCTGATATTGTAATATGATACTTGACTACATATTATAACACAGCATGAGTACATCTGTGTAAAATAATACAAATGAAAATCATATTTTACTGTAATAATAATCAGTAAATTTATTGAGTTGGGAGAGGAAAAAGAACACCTCACCACTATTTGTAAATGTAAGACTGAGTGGTCTTTACAAATAACAAAGGACATGACTACTCAATGGAAGTAATTGAGAGATATAACAGAGTTTGAATATCTCATGTTTAGAAGTGCGCACCAGGTCAGCTAGTCTCTGCCCACTACATTACAAACGCTCTTAGTTTTAACACGGTCACTATATTTACTTTCATTAGTGTTGAACTATAGTACGGTATCTGTTTTTTGTATCAGTTTTACAATGTTTCAAAATTTATTGTTGTTATATTCATAAAGTACTAAACCAGTTGAGGTCATACTGTGCCTGGGGAATGGAGTTAATCTTGTTTGATCCAAGAAAGGGAAGGGTAGCTCCAGTTTCTTGAATCAAAAGCTTTTTACCAGCATCAAGGCATGTCTTGAAGGAATGTTTCAGTAGCAAATACATAATACATCAACTTTTAGTGTCTTGTTTTCTGTTCACTAAATGGGGTACTATAATGAAGGGCTTTTTCTTTATACCTTCTCCCAGTGGGAAAATATTTAGCATATTATAAAGAGTGCATTCTCAAACAAGAAATTGTGACTATAAAAACAAAAACAAACAAACTTTATATCTATAAAGAGGAGTATAGTATATTATACAATTAGACTAATTGACATAAATAATCTATTTTATAGAAAACCCTTATTACACAAGGTATTCTCTCTCTTGGATTTTATAGGAGTGCATTAACCCTTTGAGGGTTTCAGCTGTACTAGTACGGCTTACGACCCAGGGTTTTTGACGTACTAGTACGCCTAAATTCTAGCGCCCTCAAATCTAGTGGGAGAAAGCTGGTAGGCCTGCATATGAAAGAATGGGGGGTATGTGGTCAGTGTGCACAGTATAAAAAAATCCTGCAGCACACAGTGCATAATGAGAAAAAAAAACTTTGACCGTTTTTTTGGAATAAAACAGCGACTTTGCACTGTATTTTCGTATGGTATTTATTGTTGTATTCTAGTTTTCTTGGTCTCATTTTACAGAATGGAAGATATATTACAGAAATTGAGATGATTTTGACTGGTTTTACAATGAAAAGTACCTTGAAATTGAGCTCAAAATAGCAGAAATGTTTGATTTTTACCAAAGTTCAAAAGTAAACAAGTCATGCTAGGCATCCAATACATGTCAACTGGTGAGTCTGATATTCTTTCACAAGTGCACCAATATTATTTATACCATTTTTTTACACTAATACAGTAGTCTGCGTAACAGTAAATCTTCTATTTTTTGTGAGAATAAAAATTCAAAGTGGAAAGCAAAAGAATGTAAGAGGGGCCTTGAGACGTGACTAATGAACAGAGGAAGTGTCATTTTAGTGCCAGGAATGTCTTTCTTGTTTATTCTGGACCCTATTCAGAAATTGGCATCTTTTGAAATTTGTGTGAAATTGGCAAAATTGCTAAATTCTGACCACTGTACTGGATAGTTGAAATTGATAAATGGATGGTTTCTTGCACTCATTCGATAGAAAAAATGGAGTTCTAGCGAAATATTCATGTTTTTTGTCGACTAGTACAGTGGAATTGGCCGAAAATGGGGCTCAAAGTGGGCAAAATCGCCGATGCGTAAACATCGCCGAGACTGCTAACTTCGCGAGAGCATAATTTCGTAAGTTTTCCATCAAATTTCATACTTTTGGTGTCATTATGATCGGGAAAAGATTCTCTATCTTTTCATAAGAAAAAATTATTTTTTTTTTTAAATTTGGCCGACCCTGAGAACGAGTCTCGGAGAGGGCCTGTCGACCCTCAAAGGGTTAAGTAGGATACTCTTCATATACATCACAATGAATTTATCTGCTCACATGATTTTTTTTTTTAAATTTACTTTCTTCATTAATGTACAGTTTACCTTCTAAAATTATTGTTCTTAAATTCAAATTTTATTTAAATTTCTGTGGGGAAACACTAGGATAATGTTGATTTACTTCAGTTTCTCAACCATTAAAACTTAAAAATAGGCATTTGTGATTGTTATTTTACCTAAACAATTTCTCCTCACTATACAGACAGCATCTTCTCACAAGCGTTCATGTCACGAGTAGCAGCTGAACGTCATAATCGAGTGTTGGGCCGAAGTATGGAAGCCTCGGCCCCATCATCCCCATCTCACTCCCCATCCCACCAGCCTGGCCCTTGTTCTATCACTGTCCTGCTTCTGGTAATTCATGCTGGATCCGTCCTTGACCCAACATCAGGTGAGTATACAAAGTGGCTGCATTTTCTTCAGCTTTAGGCTTTATCATTCTTTAATACAAAAACATTGAAATCTTGTTTTATTTGCATATCTCAATATTTATAACGTTAATGCTACAGTATTTACCTCTCTGCTCAACCAAAACACTTAAAAAGAAATGTCTTTCATGCAGTACAGTATAGTGATTTCAGCCTCTCATCTGTACTATATATGTAAGTCTATTGATTGCAGCACATATTTCCAATTACCATATATTTGTTTCCATTGTCAGATGTGACAAACAAGAGGAGTGATGTTACAACATTCCGAGGGGCACTGGAGTCTGTAATGCGCCAACATTATCCTCAGATGGTGGGCCATGTGGCTATTAGACTAGTTTCTGTGCCCGCAGTCTGCTCTGATGCTCTTAATATATTATCCAGGTTTGTAAAGTTATGTAAATTATGGATGAAAGTTAATTCCATTTTGTCAGCTGTATCTGAAAACATGTTTGGCTACAGTAATAAAATGAATAAATTTGGAAGTTTATTAAGGATGTGAAGTGTTTCTTTTTTGCATAATATGTTATATTTTTATAGTTGTAAGAATATACTGTTTAATAGCTAGGTGGGTAACTCTGAAGTAGGGATGTATCGGATATCTGTATCCGCATTCGCATGGAGTCCTTCTACAGGAGTTTCTGGGGGGGTGTTTGCCCTTCCTCCTGGGTCTGGGTCCTGCTCATCTTCATCATTGCCTCTCGTTCCTCCTTTCATCATTGTACCCTCTCTTTCAGTATCATCCTTTCTTCTTGTGTTCTGTCGTGATCGAAGTACACTCTCCAGTACTCCAGTTTGTCCCTCAGTTGTGCTTTCTCCTGCAGGATCCTGATTCAGGCCATTTCCTTCCACTCACAAACCACCCAATTCTCCGAAAATTTGTCACCTGGGTCGTGTCACCCTCACCTATTGTTTTCATGATATCTTCAATCGCTTTTTCCTCCGCCTGTTTTCTTTCATCGTAGGTTTCCCCTTCGGCATCAACACATGCAAATCTTCTTTCTTTCAACACACCGGCCGTATCCCACCTAGGTGGGGTGGCCCAAAAGGAAAAACGAAAGTTTCTCCTTTTCTTTCATCTTTCAACACACTGGCCGTATCCCACCGAGGCGGGGTGGCCCAAAAGGAAAAACGAAAGTTTCTCCTTTTACATTTAGTAATATATACAGGAGAAGGGGTTACTAGTCCCTTGCTCGCGGCATTTTAGTTGCCTCATACAACACGCATGGCTTACGGAGGAAGAATTCTGTTCCACTTCCCCATGGAGGTGAGAGGAAATAAACAAGGACAAGAACTAGAAAGAAAATAGAAGAAAACCCAGAGGGGTGTGTATATATATGCTTGTACATGTATGTGTAGTGTGACCTAAGTGTAAGTAGAAGTAGCAAGACGTACCTGAAATCTTGCATGTTTATGAGACAGAAAAAAGGACACCAGCAATCCTACCATCATGTAAAACGATTACAGGCTTTCGTTTTACACTCACTTGGCAGGACGGTAGTACCTCCCTGGGCGGTTGCTGTCTACCAACCTACTACCTAGTACACATGCAATTGTTGCTAATAAATACTTTCTATACAAGTCACTCAGAAATATGAGCTTAAGTAATGTGTAAAGTTTATGAGTAAATATATAACATTCAGTTTTGCTTTTCAAACCAAAGTGTATTTTCTATTTTATCAGCCTGAGTCCTTATGGTCTAGACTCCTCCCCTGTATGTGGGGAAGTGTCTGGTGGTGATAGTGTACCTGTGGGTGCTGTGCCTCTTCTAGCGACAACTGTTCCCGAGTATGATGACGCTGTAACCCAAACTCTTAGTGCTACTAATGGAGCGTACCATGAATTCTTGAGATCAGAAGAAGGACAAGGTTTTAATGGGCAGGTTTGCATTATTGGTAAGTAGTGGTAGCATTTGCTGTTATATGTATATCTATATATTAAATCAAGTTTTTTATTCACCCCAGCTGTCTCCCACTAACATAAGGTGACTAACCCCCCCCCCCCCCCCCAAAAAAAAAAAAAAAAAAAAATCACCATCATTACTTCAATAGCTGTCTTGCCAGAGTTATGAAGATATCACAATTCAAATGATCCTCTGAACTACAGCATCCTTTCCTCTCCTTCAGAGTGCAGATACTGTACTTCCCACCTCCAGGATTCAAGTCCAGCTAACGGATTTACCAGAATCCCTTCTTACCTGATTAACACTCAACAGTATGTCAAGCCATAAAAACCACTTGTCTCCACTCATTCTTATGTAAGAATAAGAGGTCACGCACTTACATATTTCAAATCCTACCTAACAAACAGGCAGCAATACGTTTCTCTTAAGGACACAACCTCTTCAATATGACCACTGGATAAGTAAGTAAGTAAGTTTATTCAGGTATACACAAATACAGTTACATAGAATTATCATACATAGCAGCATATGTGTAGAGAAACTAGGATAACCCAAAAAAGTCAGACAGAGTGACTTATTTCCATTGGGGTCCTTTAATTTCCATTGGGGTCATGGATACTGGAGTACCACAATGAAGTATCCTTTGTCCCTTGCTCTTCCTCTTATACATCAATGACTCGACCACCATTTTCAAAACTACCATTAAAAAATATCTTATCTCCACAACACACCCCATCATCAGCTAACCAAATGAAAACCACCCAATACTCTTTTTTGTATCATGAACACATCCAAAACAATATAGACTTATCGTTATCTGTAATTCCCCCATAATTTCCACCTACACCCACCCAAAGGACTGTAAACATCCAATTCTTAAAATAGCTATTGCCTATTAAGTCTTATGTTAGTCTTAATAAATCCTAAGTTTGTCTAAGATACTCCACTGTATGGCTTTAATAGAAACAATGTATCATGCCAAGACAAATCGAATCCCATTACTAAATCTGCCACTTGTACTAAATTATTAAATGATTTGACTATCTAACTATTTTAAACCTAATTATGTATGTACCTAAGTGAGACTGTTCCTAATTAGGTACCTAATAATACTATGTTCAATTGCATTGCTCAAATATGACCTATACCAAAATAGCGTAAGAATTTGTATTAGTTTGCCTGAAGTGCCTAAGCATGATAGTGGCCATCTTTGTAATTTAAATCTTGTAACATGTAGATGGGGAGCTGAAGGTATTGAGTAAATGGCGGGAATATTTTGAGGAACTTTTAACCCTTTCGGGGTCGGCAGGCCATCTCCTAAACTTGTTCTCAGGGTCGGAAATTTTTCAAAAAAACTAATTATTTTTTCATAGGAAGTGATAGAGAATCTTTCCCCGATCATAATGACACCAAAAGTATGAAATTTGATGGAAAACTTATGGAATTATGCTCTTCCGAAGTTAGCTGTCTCGACGATGTTTGCGCATTGGCGATTTCGCCCACTTTGAGCCCTATTTTTGGCCAATTCCAGTGTACCAGTCGACAAAAATCATAACTATTTTGCTAGAACTATTTTTTCTATCGAATGAGTACAAGACGCCACCCATTTACTGATTTCAACTATCCAGTAAAGTGGTCCGAAATTGGCAGTTTTGCCAATTTCACACAAATTTCAAAAGATGCCAATTTCCAAATAGGGTCCAGAATAAACAAGACAGACATTCCTGGCACTAAAATAACATTTCCTCTGTTCATTAGTCACGTCCCCAGGCCTCTGTTACATTTCTTTTGCTTTTCACTTTGCATTTTTTATTCTCACAAAAAAATAGAAGATTTACTGTTATGCAGACTACTGCATTAGTGTAGAAATGGTATAAATAATATCAGTGCACTTGTAAAAGAATAGACTCACCAGTTGATATGTATTGGAAGCATGGCATGATTTATTTACTTTTGAACTTTGGCAAAAATTGAACATTTCTGCTACTTTAACCTCAATTTCAAGGTACTTTTCATTGTGAAGCCAATAAAAATCATCTCAATTTCCGTAATATGTCTTCCATTCTATAAAATGAGACCAGGAAAACTAGAATATACCCATAAATAGCATACAAAAATGCACTGCAAAGTCGCTGTTTTGAACCAAAAACACGGTCGGAGTTTTTTTTCTCATTATGCACTGTGCTGCAGGATTTTTTTTTATATTACGCACACTAACCACATAGACCCATTCTTTCATATGTAGGCCTGCCAGCTTTCTCTCGCTAGATTTGAAGGTGCTAGAATTTATGCATACTAGTATGGCACCAACCCTGAAAGGGTTAAATGTCAATGAAGAAAGGGAGGCAGTAATTTCATGCACTGCCCAGGGAGGGATAACATCTTTTAGGAGTGAAGAAGATCAGGATGTGAGTGTGGGGGAGGTGCATTAGGCATTACGTAGAATGAAAGGGGGTAAAGCAGCTGGAACTGATGGGATCATGCCAGAAATATTAAAAGTAAGGGGGATACAGTGTTGGAGTGGTTGGTATTTTTGTTTGATAAATGTATGAAGGAGGGGAAGATACCTTGGGATTGGCAGAGAACATGTATAGTCCCTTTATATAAAGGGAAATGGGACAAAAGAGATTGTAAATATTATAGGGGAATAAGTTTACTTCCAGCAAGCGTGTGTGAGCGTGTTAGATAGGAGTGAATGGAGACGAATGGTACTTGGGACCTGACGATCTGTTGGAGTGTGAGCAGGGTAATATTTAGTGAAGGGATTCAGGGAAACCGGTTATTTCATATAGTCGGACTTGAGTCCTGGAAATGGGAAGTACATTGCCTGCACTTTAAAGGAGGGGTTTGGAATATTGGCAGTTTGGAGGAATATGTTGTGTATCTTTATATGTGTATGCTTCTAAACTGTTGTATTCTGAGCACCTCTGCAAAAACAGTGATAATGTGCGAGTGTGGTGAAAGTGTTGAATGATGATGAAAGTATTTTCTTTTTGGGGATTTTCTTTCTTTTTTGGGTCACCCTGCCTCGTTTTTACTGAGTATTCCAGGAAAAGTGTACTGTAGAGTTATTATTGAAAGACTTAGAGGTAAGACAGAGAGTAGGGTTTCAGATGAGCAAGGAGGTTTTAGAGTGGGTAGGGGATGTGTAGATCAAGTGTTTACATTGAAGCATATATATTTTGTTTTTGTTTTGTTTTCTAACAAGTTGGCCATCTCCCACCGAGGCAGGGTGACCCAAAAAGAAAGAAAATCCCCAAAAAGAAAATACTTTCATCATCATTCAACACTTTCACCTCACTCACACATAATCACTGTTTTTGCAGAGGTGCTCATAATACAACAGTTTAAAAGCATCTACGTGTGAAGATATACAACATATCCGTCCAAACTGCCAATATCCAAATCCATCCTTTAAAGTGCAGGCATTGTACTTCCCATTTCCAGGACTCAAGTCCGGCTGTATAAAAATAACCGGTTTCCCTGAATCCCTTCGCTAAATATTACCCTGCTCACACTCCAACAGCTCGTCAAGTCCCAAATTCCATTCATCTCCATTCACTCCTATCTAACACGCTCACGCACGCTTGCTGGAAGTCCAGGCCCCTCGCCCACAAAACAGTATTTAGATAAAGGTAGGGAAGTTTTCATTGCATTTATGGATTTAGAAAAGGCATATGATAGAGTGGATAGAGGAGCAATGTGGCAGATGTTGCAAGTTTATGGAATAGGTAGTAAGTTACTAAATGCTGTAAAGAGTTTTTATGAGGATAGTGAGGCTCAGGTTAGGGTGTGTAGAAGAGAGGGAGATTATTTCCCAGTAAAAGTAGGTCTTAGACAGGGATGTGTAATGTCACCATGGTTGTTTAATATATTTATAGATGGGGTTGTAAAAGAAGTAAATGCTAGGGTGTTGGGGAGGGGCATTGGAGGGATATGTTATATATTTTTATATGTATATGTTTCTAAACTGTTGTATCTGGGTACCTCTGCAAAAAAGAGTGATTATGTATGAGTGAGGTGAAAGTGTTGAATGATGATGAAAGTGTTTTCTTTTTGGGGATTTTCTTTCTTTTTGGGTCGCCCTGCCTCAGTGGGAGATGGCCGACTTGTTGAAAAAAAAAAAATGTAAACCACACATTTTAAGCTTTACAAGGAAATAAATATTTGTATTTATATTTTGTAATATGTTCACACAAGCCTAGCCTGATGGATGTCAAAGTCTCTAGTACTGTGTTGGAAGATAGGTCTACCTACCTACCTACCTACCTACCTACCTACCTACCTACCTACCTACCTACCTACCTACCTACCTACACTACCTACCTACCTACCTACCTACCTACCTACCTACCTACCTACCTACCTACTACCTACCTACCTACCTACCTACCTACCTACCTACCTACCTACCTACCTACCTACCTACCTACCTACCTACCTACCTACCTACCTACCTACCTACCTACCTACCTACCTACCTACCTACCTTACCTACCTACCTACCTACCTACACCTACCTACCTACCTACCTACCTACCTACCTACCTACCTACCTACCTACCTACCTACCTACCTACCTACCTACCTACCTACCTACCTACCTACCTACCTACCTACCTACCTACCTACCTACCTACCTACCTACCTACCTACCTACCTACCTACCTACCTACCTAACCTACCTACCTACCTACCTACCTACCTACCTACCTACCTACACCACCTACCTACCTACCCACCTACCCACCCACCCACCCACCTAGAGGGTATCCTGAGGATTTATGAATGACAAGATGAATCATCGAATAACTAAGGGAAAGAAGATAGCTAGCATTTTGGCACCGTTTTTGAAAGAAACAAGTTTAACAATTGAAGCAATAGAATATAGTGGTTTTAGCACTTTTGTATAAATGTGAGACATTGTCCTTGAATATTGCAGATGATAGAAACAGGTTATACAGTAGAGTGAATCCCTAAATTGTGAGGATCTTGAGGGGTGTTGGTGATGGTGTGGTTAGGGAGGAGGTTAGAGGTAGTGGAGATGTGTTTTAGATCAATCTATGGAATGAATATCATGTAGAGTACTGTATAAGGTGTACAGAAATTAGAAAATGGTGTGATTCTATGAAGGTTATAATTAAGGAAGTTTAAGAGAGATGCTGAGATGGTTTAATCATTCAGAAAGGATTGAGCTAAATAGATTGATCAAGAGGGTTTATAATTCCGGAGTGGATATGAGGATTAGGGTTGGAGGGTGTAAAGGTGGTTTTGATTTTTTTTTAGCACAACTGCTGCCTCTCACCAAGGCAGGATGACCCAAAGAAGAAAACACATTCACTCAATCTTCATTTTTCCAGAAGTGTACTGACACCACAATCAGATTACCCCTCCAACTGCAACATCCCCACCTCTCTGTCAGATTGCAGCCACTGCTTTTGCCACCTCCAGGACTCAAGTCTAGCTAGCCAGTTTTCCTGAATCCCTTCATAAAAGTTACCCTGCTCACATTCCAACAGCATGGCCATTAAAACCACTTGTCTTTATTCATTCCTAACATACACAAGCCTGATGGACACTCAAACCCGGAAAAACCCCTCCCTCCAACCATTCCTGAGATGATCCCCTCCCTCTCCTACTTTCTGCTCCAGATTTATACACCCATGTCATGAGCCTGTTCTTTCCTTTCTCCCTCTATGTCCAAAGTACCTCAACCCCTCCTTAACTTTCTAAAACATACTCTTGGTTAGCCCACATCGCCTTTTAATTTCTATACTTCAAATTCTCTGCATGATCTTCACACCACACATTCCTCTCATACATAATATTTTTGCTACCTCTAGTGTTCTTTTTGCTGTAGCATTCAAAATCTCTGCCTCACCCATATAGGTTTTGAAAAATAAGTACTTGAATATCCAACGTGTATGTGTGAACATGTTAGGTCGGAGTAAAGGGGGATAAGGGAAGATGGTCAGTGTACAGTATTCTCCTTCTGTGGGTCACCCTACCTTTGAAGAAATGGCCAATCCAATAAAAAGCATACAGTTGTTTTATATACAATACTGAATAATTGAAGTAGCTTCCTAGTTAATATTTTTGCAATTATTAGGCTATTATTACTAATCATTTATTTTCAGGTGACAGTATTGGTGGTGTCTTGGCATATGATGTTCTCTGCCGTGTGAACGAACAACCTAAGTATGGAAGCAATAGCAACATTCCTGAGGGTGAACCCCCTTCCCCGGGTCAGTACTACAAGCAGAGGTCTTCTCCAGGACAACCTCAATCCTCATCCCTTTCCCCATCCTCTCCACCTTCACTTTCTCCAGACCAACCCATGAGTACTTCACCCTTGACCTCCCCATCCCCAACAATCACTGTAAGTTTGGAAAATGTTTCAGAAAACCCCTCAGGTGATGTATTCACTCCATCAACAGATGGAAAGTCTCCACATTTTCCTCACAGTTCTCATGCTTCCTCTTTTTCTTGTAAATTGCCATCTCCTCTGTCCCCCACTGATTCCCATGCTCCTTTTTGTAAGATATCTTCACCTCTTCCCATGCCAACACCTGTAGGCCAAGTTACTAGAAAGTGCTCGGCACCTTGCAGCATCCCTGGCAGTGGTGTTGGGGGATGGGGGTGTCGGACAGCTGGAGGAAGTTGTAACATGCCCACACCATCACCACCAGGGGCTTTCTCCACTTATCCATCTACTTTGTATCAATCCCACCATCCTCACCAGTACTACACTCCTCTTCACCGCTTCTATCACCAGGGTGTTAGTAATACCCATGATACCCTCACCCCTGGGCTACTGTGTGAAAAAAGAGGCAAGTGTGATGTATATATCTTATACTGCTTAGCATCCTGGTGAGCACGCAGTTGAATTTGCGATAATTTGGTAACGGGTAATCATGCCTTTTCTATACTTGACAGCCCAGTTTTGCATTGTGTAATACAAGGCTAAATCAGATTCACAAAAGATGAATGAATTACAATACTTCGTTCAAATGCATGATATAAATAACATTATTTTAATACTTTATCTTGTCTGTCATGAATTTATGTATTGACAAGAGGTGAAACTGGTGTGGTGTAATATACAAGCAAGCTATGTTAATTCAGAGGTATTTTTTATGCAGCTTTTTGAATATTGTACATGCATTAAATACAAACCGCTTAGTAAAAAAATGGTTATCACTCGTCCATTTTTTCCGGTTGTATTGTTTCATGTATCAATATTTTGCCATGAATGCAGTTTAAGCAGGTTCTCTGCCTGCCAATAGTTAATATAAATGCAGTTGTTTTGGAGATAAAATTAATAAAAAGTTTAAATTTCAGCTATAATTATACTCTTGTAGGCTAGTGTAGTTCATTCCCTTTTTTCCTGAAGTGGGCTTAAAAATATAATTTACTCCTATAAACTGCATCTTGACCTGCTAAAATTATTTTTCTTTTGTTTTTTATAATTTTTTGCCTTTTTCATTTTTTTAGCAGGACGGTACATGTAGCCACGTTTTCTTCTGCAAAATGTCAATCAATTTAAAATTCAGTGATGATAAATATGAATAAAAAATCAGTGCCCTGATTTTCTGTTGATATAAGATTTATCAATAAATTTGTAATATATGTACAACAGTAATATAGAGTTTATATTTATTTTTAATTATATTTTATTTACAGTCAAGAACCCATTTATAAATAGAGTTCATCATTATCATTATCAAAGAATATGATTTACTTTAGTTTGTAACATATATAGCTGATGACATGCTAATACAGTGTTTAGCATATTTTATCATAACATATACTTTTGAACCATTTTATCTTAATTCTAGTAAAAAAAATCCTGAAATTTATTAAAATCAGTAAGTGTTTTTTGTTGTGCTGAAGCAGATGCCACAGTGCATATCATAACATTTGATCTCACTTTTGTGAACCTGACTCATTTGCAGCATTTTAGCTTTGTGTAAAGCTCTGTTCCTAAACCAGTAATTTAGTGAAAGTTTGTGTAGCTGATTTAAACAGTTGTATAATTACTAATAGACAAAAGATTTGAAAATGCATGTCTATGAGAGGGTGGATAGTTTATTGTTGTGAGAGTTGGAAATACAATGTATTAATATGATTAGATTCAGATGTACATTAGCTACATATTCTTTGTATGTACAGTTATATCACTGGTAATTTTTATAAATACACCTATTGGTATAGAAACATATTAAATAAATTACTACAGTATATATTTTTTGAATTCTGAAACTCTCATGCATGTAAATGATCTCCCTTCTGTTGGATAGCAAAAATTTATGTAATGCATTAATGATGTCCTCCTGCATGGATTTTTGAGTTGAAAGTATTTTATCATTGTTTTATAATAATGTTTGAGAAAATTGTATGAATTTTTTTTTGTAGTACATATATTAATGTATACCTGAAATATGTTTATTACAAGGACTGAGGTACAAATTAGTGCTGTACATACTGCCAATTTAAATGGGGTGATAATAAATTTAATGCATAATGTAAAGAGAAATATTTTCAAATGTAATAACTTTATTGTTCCATGGAATTAATGTCAAGAGGGTCTTCATTATCTGTAACCAAATTATTAATATATTAAATATAAACCCTAATGGCACTTTTAAGTAAGGAGCATGCTGTTACAATTTTATTTTTGAAGCATTTGTGTTGCAGAAGATAATACAGTGGTACCTCGAGTTACGAACTTAATTCATTCAAGAAGGCTGTTCGAGTGCCGATACCGAACGAATTTGTTCCCATAAGGAATAATGTAAATTAGATTAGTCCGTTTCAGACCCCCAAAAATACACTTACAAAAGCATTTACAAAAATACACTTGCATAATTTTTCAAGTTGGGAGCTGCTCGAAGCTCGAGGTACTACTGTATATAAATTTGACATTGCACTATGCTTTTTATCTGAGTAAGTTCTCTAAAGTATCCATAATACCAAGTAAAACCTCAATTAAATGGACCTCAGTGTAGTAGGTTTGGGATACAATGAACAAAATATTTGGCCAAAGAAAAGCTTGATGCACCAGACCAAGTCCATTCCATCGGGTGTTTATTAATGGTAGTGTGTGTTCAGTAGGCTTCCCATTTAACAGACCAAGTACAGTATGTTGCATTGGGCTTTTGTCGATTTGAAGTAGAGTATGTGTCAGGTAGGTTTCCCATACAACTGACCGAGTCCAGTCTCACTGCAGTGATTTTTTGGTCATAGGCCTTATCATTGCTGTCATGTTCTAGTTGTAACACTGAGTGCAGGGTTGAGAAGTGCCATAAACACAGTGCAGGGTTGAGAAGTGCCATAAACACTGAGTGCAGGGTTGAGAAGTGCCATAAACACTAAGTGCAGGGTTGAGAAGTGCCATAAACAAGATTGGGTAAAGATGTCTTTTATTTTGCAGGAAATCAAGGATCAAAGAGAACAGTATAAATGATCATTTATATAAAAGTTTCCTTCAAAATTCACATTACTGCTGGCTGTATAATGGAATGATGATATTAAAAAACAAAAATTTTTTTTTTTTTCCTGAGAGTTAAAGTTTTGTTACTGATACATAGAATGTTACCAAGTTGATCATCCCTTATACATGTAAATTTTTGTCTACACAAATAACTGTAGGTAAATGTATCCTGCTTTTTTTATGCTATCAGTTATTTATAGATTAAAAAATATGAAGTTAATTGCTGTATCATATATCATTGGTGTTTTTAGTGATCTAGGTATGGTTAAAATATGTTTGGCTTCATTACAAGAATGAATGGTGTCACTGTTTATTACTGTTCTTCATCAGTATTGCAAAGGATGCATTCCATAAGATGCTCGTGGATGGTGAATTTGCTGATACTGAATTTATGTTTCAGCAAGGAAAGGAGGGATGTCTCCCAGATTCCCATTGGTACCATGCTCAGACAAAGTAGAATATTTTTCATTAATTTAGGTTAGTTAAAGTAGGTCTTCTAATGGACATACAGCGGTACCTCGAGTTTCGAACAGCTCCCAACTTGGACAATTGTGTAAGTGTATTTTTGTAAGTGCTTTTGTAAGTGTATTTTTGGGGGTCTGAAATGGACTAATCTAATTTACATAATTCCTTATGGAACAAATTTGATCGGTATCGGCACTCGAACAGTCTTCTGGAACGAATTAATTTCATAACTCGAGGTACCACTGTATACATATTAGAAAAAGCAAATTTTAGTGTTTCAGTTTGAGAACTTGGGAGCTTACCTCGTGATCAGTGCCATTATACTGAATGCACAGTTAACCTGCACACAGAAGAGCAGAGCTTACGACAACATTTTGATCCAACTTGGTCCAAGTCGGACCGAAAAGTCGTCGTAAGCCCCTCTCTTCTGTGTGCGGGTTTTGTGTATTGTTCCTGTCACAGTATTGTGCCTTTTTTGTTATTAATACTGAATGCAGGTTGTGGTTCTAGGACCTTAACTTAGGAATTATGCCATTATATTGTAGTATGCATGTCATGGATTCATATAAATAGAAGAGCACTACAGTAGGCCTGCTGACCCATGTTAAATATGTTCTTCACACACCCACTCATTTACATGTATGAAATATTTTTAAAGATACCCAAAATGCTTTTTTCAGTGACATTAGTGTACTACTTAGCTTTTCATTCCATTCATCCGTAACTTAATTACCAAATCAGGTCCCTCTTGTTTCTTTTCTAAATCTAAATTTGGCCTGTCTTAAATACTTTCAGTCACTTGATATATATCCCCTTTATTCCTGTTTTCATTTTTATATTGCAGTTCTTTCCCTTCTAATTCTCCATCATCAATTTCAGTGTTTTTAGACTGTCTTCTAAGGAAAGATTTATAGTACAAGTCCGCCATCACAAATCCGGCAATCAGTTATTCGGTTCCTTCAGTTATTCGGCACTAATTTTGGCTAGCATAATTTCAAATTTCCAGGGTCGCCACACCAACCTGCTGCTACTGTTTGGTGGCGCTACTTGCTGCATAAGTCATTCCAATTTCTTTTTCTCCATTTATTGTTTTAATCTGCTTACTTTTAGCCCTAGCCATGATTCCAATGAATAAAAGAAATGCTTCTCATTATGTAAAGCACCTACACAGGACATTATCCATTAACGATAAGGTGGCTTTGAAGCCACTGTCGGTTGCCATGAGCTCAGTCTCATGAAGCAGGAGAATATGCTTTATTATTACGCTAATATCAACACTACAGCTTATTTGCCTATCACAATTGATCTAATGTGACATAAGAAACAATATAAATAACATAAAACATGTTAAATATTCCAGAATGAATAATATTTGGCATAACACCGAGCAGTTCGACGGAGGTATGAAGAGGATATGGTATACAAATACCATTCTCCTATCCCTGTCTTGGTGGCTTATATTAGAGAAAACGGAGTGTAGCACAGGGCTAACTGTGATATACACTCGTACTGCACCATAAACCTGAAACAAAAGTTATTTTCTCTATATAGATTATCACACAGCAGCATATGTGTAGAGAACCTAGGATAACCCAAAAAAAGTCAACGTGGCTTATTTTTAGTACCTGGCTTGGGTTAGCCATATATGATTTTTGGTAAAGATTCAATTCCCAGCCAGGGTAGAAACATTAGGCATGTTTCTTTACACCTTTTGTCTATGTTTACCCATCAGTTAATGGGTACCTGGGTGTTAGCCAACTAATGTGGGTGTTATCCTGGGACACTGACCTAATTTTCTTGAAATACTCTGCATAACAAGCGGCTTTCTATACAGTAGTATGTCCCTGATGTCAGCTAGGCCTGTATACCTTGTACATGTAGTAAATGAAGATATTATTATTATTATTATTATTATTATTATTATTATTATTATTATTATTATTATTATTATTATTATTATATTATTATTTTCTCAGTTGTTTGTTGGGTTATCTTATTTAAACTTGGGCAATGTATGATGGAAAGATACTTCTTCACGTACACCAAAAATGAAAGAAATCAGACCATAAATAGCGGAGTTCACTTCTCAGCCATTAGCGGCCGCTTAGCTGTATATTTTTGTATGGTTGTTATGGCTATATTCTCACTTTTTTGGTCTCATTTGATAGAATGAAAGATATATTACAGAAATAGATATGATTTTGATTGCTTTCATGATGAAAAGTACCTTGAAATTGCGCTCACAGTAGCGAAAATGTTCTATTCTTTAGCGAAGCTCAAGAGTAAACAAATGATTTCACCGTCCAATACCTGTCCACCTGCCAGTCTAAATTCCAGTACGGAGTCAAGAATGGCTTGACATTATTTATACAATTATTACAATAATGCAGCAGTCTGCATTACAGTAAATCTTCTATTTTTTTGTGAATAAAAATTCCAAATGAAAAGCAAGAGTAATATAAGAGGGGCCTGTAGCCGTGACTAATGAACAGATAAAATGTTATTTTAGTGCCAGGAATGTCTGCATTGCTTATTCTGGACCTTATTTTGAAATTGGCGTCTGTTGAAATTTGTGTGAAATTGGCCAAATTGCCAATTTCTGACCACTTTATTGAGTAGTTGAAATAAGTGAATAGGCGGTTTCTTGTACTCAGTTGACAGACTAGAAGTAAATAAGTTTATTCAGGTATACACAAATACAGTTACATAGATTATCATACATAGCAGTGTATGTATAGAGAACCTAGGATAACCCAGACAAAGTGACTTGTTTCCAGAACCTGGCTTGGGATTGCCATATATGATTTTTGGTAAATATTTTTTGTTCTCGGTTGTTTGTTGGGCTGTCTCATTGAAACTTGGGCATTGTATGATGGAAAAATGCTTCTTAACGTACAACAAAAATAAAAAAGACGGACGATAAATAAGGGAGTTAGCTTCTCAGCCATTAGCCGCCTCTTTGCAGTATATTTTCGTATGGTTTTTATGGTTGTATTCTCATTTTTTGGACTCATTTGATAGAATGGAAGATATATTACAGAAACAGACATGATTTTGATTGCTTTCATGATGAAAAGTACTTTGAAATTGAGCTCAAAGTAGCCGAAATGTTCGATTTTTGCCGATGTTCAATGAACTGTGTAAGTCAAGTTGGTTAATTTTATTAAGTGTATTCTAACCTAACCACTCTATAATCCAGCAAACTCAGTAATCTGGCACACTGCAGGTCCCAGTGATGCCGGATTTGTGATGGAGGACCTGTACAGGGAATTAACTTTGCCATTTTCTCATTTTTATTTTCTAGCACATTATTGTCCTTTCTTTAGCCCTTTCACTGTCAGTGTCGTATTAGTACAGATTACAAGCAAGTGTTGGTTAGATTTTTAGATTTTGCCACCGAAGTGGCTAGTTTATTGTGCACCTCATATCCATCCTGTGGACGGTAGCGCGAGAGCATATGGATACACAAAAGGCCTAGGAACTAGGCCCCAAAGGGTTAGCAGGAATACATATGGATTTATATCTACATATCTATAGTTCACTTATCTGTTACAAGCAAATTTAGGAAATTTGCTTAGTATATCTGGTATCTTATGTTGTGCTGTATTAATATGCCAAAATTCTAGTAGGAGATAGTAGGCCTGCATGTGAGAGAATGGGTCTGTGAGGTCAGGGTGTGCAGTATAAAAAAATTCCTGCAGCACGCAGTGCATAATGAGAAAAAAACTCCGACCGTGTTTTTGGTTTAAAATGCCGAATTTGAGGTGTATTTTCGTATGGTATTTATGGTTGTATTCTCGTTTTCTTGGTTTTGTTTGACAGAATGGAATATATGATGCAGAAATAGAGATGATTTTGAGTGGTTTCACAATGAAAAGTACCTTGAAATTGAGCTCAAAGTAGCAGAAATGTTCAATTTTTGCCGATGTTCAAGAGTAAACAAATGACGTCACCGTCTAATATGTGTCCAACTGTCCAGTATAATACGAAGTCACAAATGGGTTGACATTATTTATACAATTATTACAATAATGCAGTAGTCTGCATAACAGTAAATCTTTAATTTTTTGTGTGAATAAAAATTCAAAATGGAAAGCAAGAGTAATATAAGAGGGGCCTGGAGACATGACTAATGAATACAGAAAATGTTATTTTACTGCCAGGAATGTCCTCATTGTTTATTCTGGACCCTATTTTGAAATTGGCATCTTTTGAAATTTGTGTGAAATTGGCCAAATTGCCAATTTCTGACAACTTTATTGGGTAGTTGAAATCGGTAAAGGGGCGGTTTCTTGTACTCAATCCATAGAACAGATGGAGTTCTAGCTAAATATTTATGAGTTTGGTCAACTGGAACAATGGAATTGGCCAAAAATAGGGCTCAAATTAGGCAAAATTGCTGATGTGTATATGTCGCCGAGACAGCTGACTTTGGGAGAGCGTAATTCCATAAGTTTCCCATCAGATTTCGTACTTTTGGTGTCATTACCATCGGGAAAAGATTCTTTATCATTTCATAAGAAAAATAATTTTTTTTTTTAAATTCTTCGACACAGAGAGAGTTTGTGAGCAGGGGTCTTGACAGTGAAAGGGTTAATATGGGAACTAGACTGCTATATGTAGCATAATCTAAACAAGGCCTTACCAGTGATATGTAGAGTTGTATAACAGTGAGATTCCCAATACTTATATAGTACTTTTTAATATGATGCCAGGAAGTATAGGATACATAAAATGTTGCTCATGACTCAGGAAATATTCCTACGTGGAAGTTGCAGATGAGTAGGGAGTATAGTACTTATGTTATACATGTCTTCTATTTAGTTCTCATTTTTATTTACTCCATATACTGTTGTACCTTTTTTATTCTTATGGTCTTAATTATACATATAAATAATATATATGTAAATGCATTATTGTTATTATACATTCAGCTCAAGTTCACCTTCATTGTTGCTTTTTAATGCATTAGATATAAAAATTACATACGTATAAGCATTGCAAATATATTGAGTCCAGTATATAAAATCTTCAACATTCTTTCTGCTATTCCATAACAGGTGAAGAAAATAGTGAAAATACTCGGGTGTATCGCAAGTCAATTAGCAGTGATAGTGCACACCATACAGATCTTCCTCATTGTCGTTCTGTCTCGGATTCTGATTACCATTATGCCAGGCATCTCTCAGCTCCATTTCCTCGCCGAAGATCATCATCATCAAGGTAAGTCATTTTTGTTCAGTGTATAAATGCAGTTTTATATTACATTCGTAAATCCATGTGAAATATACATTACATATTTTTTATACTGTATGATTGCATGGATTGTAGTTTTTTCTGTGTTGTGAAAGAACTTTTATAAAACGCTTGAGTTTGTTCTTATGGTGTTGAAAATTAGATTCATAATAACTGAGAGGCATTTAGAATTACTGTACATGAATACAATAAAGATATGTCACTGCTGTTAAATGTTAGTCAAGGTGACTTGAGTCATGGAGGTGGGAAGTACAATGCCTGCACTCTAAAGAAGGGGTTTGGGATATTTGCTGTTTAGAGTGACATCTAAACTGCCATATCTGTACACCTCTGGCAAGACAGTAATAGTGTGAATGATGCTGAAAGCATTTCTTTTTCGGATCACCCTGCCTTGGTGGGAGACGATTAATGTGTTAAAAAATGTTAAATGCCCAATATCCAGTAGTTGTAGTACTGTACTTACTGCCTCCTCATTGATCTTCCACTCCTTAAGAACCTCATAGTATCCTTTCACCCACTTGTCTTCCTTAGTTTATATTTGTGGCCTTTTTTTTCATGCTACAAGTTGTGTTAGGAAGGCTCTGTATCTGTACTTTTGTATCCTGTTATAGTCTTGTACAGCCTTTCCTCACCTAACGGCAGAATTTGGTTCCTAAGACCACATCGGTAAATGAATTTGTCACTAAGTGAGGAGCATTCTATAATGGTAGTGGGTTTATGTCAACCATCTTTGATATTGTTTTAATGTCACTTTTGCACCATTTATAACATTTCTGGTATATTTTTAAATGTTTATACACTAGCGTCTTGTATACTGTAATAAACAGAATAGAGGAAATCAGCTCTAATATACATTACATGTACATATTTAGGTATGCATACTGGTCAGAGAGCCTGTCATAAGTCCGAGTCATCAGTAAACGAGTATGTACGTCGCTGAGTGAGGAGAGGCTATATGTGATTATAATATTTTCTTTTCATCCTATCAGCCATTGAAGGCATGTCTAATGTATTTAGCCTTATTTTTTGTAGCTTGTCTTTCTAGCTCGTCCATGTTTTTCTTTTGTACAGATATCATACCATTGCTGCATATTATAATTTTTTTTTAATATATGTTCTAAACAGCTTTTTTAGCATTTCTTGATCCACATAGCTAAAAGGCTGTTTTAAAGTTCGTCATTGTAGCTTAAACATAATAAAATAATATGCCACTGTGAGAAAAAATGCAGTATTCAAAATAAAATTAGTTTAGGTGTCATTTTCTCGAAGATTAACATATCTGGGTGATCCTTGATTGTAAAAGCTCCTTAAATTCTCGTTTCTCAGTACCAGTTTGTGCAGTGTATACAGTAATTAGGAAAATATACTGTTGTATCTTCATGCCTCTGGCAAGACAGTGATAGTGTGAATGATGGTGAAAGTGTTTCTTTTTCGGGTCACCCTGCCCTGATGGGAGACTGCCTGTTTGTTTAAAAAGGTAAACTACTATAGAGTATTGCAATGGATAAAAAAGATTTTGCCTAAAAGAAATATAAAAACAGTAATAACTTAATAGGTGCTGGCACACTCATGGAACATATTTCTAGTGGAGTTCTCGTATAGAGAAAAGGCTCTTAGTTTATGTAAATGACTTACAAAATGGCACCAATGTCTGCAGTAAGTACAGTGGACCCCCGGTTAATGATATTTTTTCACTCCAGAAGTATGTTCAGGTGCCAGTACTGACCGAATTTGTTCCCATAAGGAATATTGTGAAGTAGATTAGTCCATTTCAGACCCCCAAACATACACGTACAAACGCACTTACATAAATACACTTACATAATTGGTCGCATTCGGAGGTGATCGTTATGCGGGGGTCCACTGTACAGTGGAACCTCAAAAATCGAACTGCTCCCAACACAACCAATTATGTAAGTGTATTTTTTTAAGTGCTTTTATAAGTGTATTTTTAAGGGTCTGAAATGGACTAATTTAATTTACATTATTCCTGATGGGAATAAATTCATTTGGTAAAGGCACTCGAAAAGACTTCTGAACCGAAGAAAGTTCGATATTTGAGGTTCCACTGTATATGAATGTTTGCAGGTGCACAAAAATTGAAGCATCAATTGAAAACATCTTTGAAATCTTACCAAAAGATTTTTACAATTTGGGGTAATGGAGCAATAAATGGAAGGTAGATTTTACTGGCAATGAATGACATGCAATGAATACAGTGGAACCCCAGATTTTGCACGCACCAGATATCGGACTTTTCGGATTTCAGGCACTTTTTTGTGTGAAATTTTACTTTGAATTTCCGACCTTGTCCCTAGAATCGCACGTATCATACGCGTCCGCCCACCCGGGGAACGCCGTCAGTCTGGCTCTGTCACTGCTCGAGTGAGCGTTCATCCGAAACATTTCGCAATTTTTGTGCTTGTTTATTGATTGTGACTGCGAAATAAGCCACCGTGGGCCCAAAGAAAGTTCCTAGTACCAGCTCTTTGGTAAAGAAATTGAGAAACACGATAGAATTAAAGAAAGATTGTAGAAAAATATGAAAGTGGCGTATGTTTAGCCGAGGTTACCAGGATGTATGGGAAGAGATGGATTTTGAAGGGTTTGAGGCTGACTGTGTCGACCCTATGCCTGTTGTGGAATGTACTGTGTCTTTGGGGAAGTTTTTGGAGTTGGAGGTGAGTGGCCAAGATGTGGAAGAGTTGGCGGAGGACCACAGAGAAGAGCTAACCACTGAAAAGCTGCAAGACCTTCAACTGGAACAGCAACAGACTGCAGGTGAGGAAATTGCTTCAGAGGAGGAGGAAGTGAGAGGGAAGAAGGTGCCTTCTTCAGTGATTAAGGACATGTGTGCAAAGTGGAATGAGTTGCAAACTTTTATTGAAAAATATCACCCTAACAAAGCTGAAACAAGCCATATCTGCAATATGTTCAGTGACAAAACCTTGTCCCACTTCAGGCAAATCTTAAAGAGATGCCAGAAACAGGGGTCCAGTGATTCTCAAGCTGGTCCTAGTGCCAGTAAAAGAGAAAGAAGGGAAGTAACCCCAGAGAGGGACTTGATACCTGAAGTCCTTATGGAGGGGGATTCCCCTTCCAAATAATAACCCCAATTCCCTCTCCCCTCCTCGCCTTCTTCCATATGCCAACAAGAGTCTTCAATAAAGGTATGTAATGTTTATATTTATTCATATTTATTTATCATTGTTTTCTGTATGTAAAACTATAGCTATTCTTTAAAAAATTAATGTTTTGTGAATATTTTTGGGTATCTGGAATGGATTAATTGTATTTACATTATTTCTTATGGGAAATATTGCTTCAGTTTTTGCACTTTTCGGATTTAGAACGACTTTCTGGAACGGATTAAGTACGAATTCCAAGGTTCCACTGTATTAGTGAAAGTTAATGAAGACTGTGTGAAGAATATGTACTGTGTATTATGTAGCAAAATTTAAACAACATCTAACAAAGAATAAGATCTTGAGGTGATTATAAATAGAAGCAAAGAGAAATAGAGGATTTATAATACACCCTCACTTTAATTGACTAGTAGAGAGGGAGGGGAAAGATGTGATTGGTACTGGTTAATATGATGGATGAAGTATGTAGATAATATGTTGGGATCATAACAAGAATTAACACTTCTGTAATCAACGAACTTTATTGTTTCTGAATCAGCTGGATTGTGTCCCATCTTTCCAGAATCTGTTAAATTGAAGTTTGTTAAATCAAGGGTCTATTGTAGAATACAGTAGATAATTAATTATCAAGTGGTAGGATAGAGGATGCTTAAAATTATTGAGCGGAGTTGTTTCAATTTTTGCTTAAACATAATGCTATTAGGGAATGTGTCACAAAAGAGGACCCCTTTAAAAATGATGTAATGATCTGGTGTGATTGAAACTCTGCTGCATCCTTTCCCCTTAGGGCGCCAGATAATTGCTAATCCACTGCATTGTGTGTTCATAGGAGGGTGGGTTCAGGAGGAAAGAGGAGTGATTGGTGGAATGATGAGGTAAAGGGTGCACTAAAAGAGAAAAAGATAGCTTATGAGAGGTTTTTACAAAGCAAAAGTGATATAAGAAGGGCAGAATATATGGAGAGTAAAAGAAAGGTGAAGAGAGTGAGAAAAGATAGCAAATGATAGAGCGGGAGAGGCACTGTCAAGAAATTTTGCTGAGGATAAGAAAAAATTTGGAAGTGAGATAAACAAGTTAAGAAAGCCTAAGGAATGAATGGATTTGTCTGTCTAAAAGAGAGTAGGGAAGTTAGTAGATGGGGAGCTGAAAGTATTGGGTAGATAGCAGGAATATTTTGAGGAACTTTTAAATGTCGATGAAGGAAGGGAGGCAGTAATTTCATGCTCTGGCCAGGGAGGTATAATATCTTTTAGGAGTGAAGAAGAACAGGATGTGAGTGTGAGGGAGGTATGTGAGGCATTACATAGAATGAAAGGGGGGTAAAGCAGCTGAAACTGACGGGATAATGACAGAAATGTTAAAAGCAGGGGGAGATATAATGTTGGAGTGGTTGGTATTTTTGTTTAAAATTAAATGTATGAAAGAGGGGAAGGTACCTAGGGATTGGCAGAGAGCATGTTTAATTCTTTTATATAAAGGGAAGGGGGACAAAAGAGATCATAAAAATTATAAGGGAATAAGTGAGGTTTGGGATATTGGGAGTTTGGAGGGATGTTAAGCTGTTGTGTCTGAGAGCCTCTGCAAAGACAGTGATTATGTGTGAGTGATGGTGAAAGTGTTGAATGATGAAAGTTTTTTCTTTTTTGGGTTTTTCTTTCTTTTTGGGTCACCCTACCTTGGTGGGAAATGGCTGACATGTTAAAAAAAATAAGTTTGTGAGTATACCAGGTGAAATGTATTGTAGGGTTATTATTGATAGAATTAGAGGTAAGACAGAGAGCAGGATTGCAGATGAGCAAGGAGGCTTTAGAATGGGTAGGG